CGGGTGTATTTTCTGGACGTCGAGTCATGGGTGTTTGGGGCATGCAGATGCGTAGCATAGCACCGTATAGCATGATGGACTGACTACTTAGCAAGGTACTGCTATCTGAGGAAGATGACCACCAATGCTTGCTTTGCCGCTGAATACTAAGTGGAATTATGATCTTGGTCTTTTGCGCATATGTATTTAGCACTGATCGATCGATCGGTCTGTCTGTCTGTCTGTCTTTCAAACGCCGCAGATATACGTATGCAAATGCATGCAAGCCCAAATTTCACAAGCTGGAGATCTATCGTCACCACGGCCACCACCACCATCCCACCCATCTACACTGAACAAGAAGAACAAGAAGTAGAATTCCTCCCTTTTCTCTCCCAAGTTCGTTGAGACTTTGAAAAAAGAATAACCCGCTACGCTTTTTGTCATTGTCTCAACTCTTCTTTACACACGCACCAATCCCCCCTTCCCTCCCGCCTCTATGTGGAAATCCCCCTACCTCACTATTCCCACCGTCTCGCTCGCTCCCTCTGCATATTCCTCACCTATTCGTCCCAGCAGCCCCCGCCCCTCCCTTCCAACCAGACTCGGCGGCTTTTTTTTTATTGCTTGTCGTTCACCTGCAGATATTTGTAGGCTGCAAAGGCGAATGCGCCGCCGAGGAGGATGATGGCGTAGAGTCCGACGCCTAGCGATGTGGTGGAGGAGGAGGAGGAGGAGGATTCTTTCGGCCCGGCCGCGACGTAGGATGTGCTTCCGGTTTTGGGGGCTGGGTCGCCTTCCTGTGGGGGGGATTGGTTAGCGGGTGAGTGAGGATGGGTATGTGGTGAGGAGGAGGTGTTTGGTGTGGTTGTTTGGGAGGGATGGGGTTTTGGGGGGGAAGGGATGGATAGGTGGGAGTTGGTGGGGTTAATTGGTTGTAGTTGTTGTTTGTGAGGTCTTTTTTTTTCTGACGGAGATGTTGTTTGTGTGGCTGGTGCAGTTCGGCAAGGGCGAGAGTGAGAGAAATGTTTTCAACTGTAGCAGACGTACCTCTCTCTTCAGTGTTCCGACTTTCAGGCCGTCGAGGATCTCTCGCGCCTCATCCGAATGGCCGACGTCTTCTTGCGTCTTGGCCGCCCAGGTCGAGCAGGCCTTCTTCACCGCCACTGTGTATGGGCAATTTCAACGGTTAGCAAAGTGTTTCCCAAGGAAGGCGAAGTTGTTGTATGTAGTGTAGTGTAGGAGAATATGCCGGCTAATTGGCACAGGAGTGTGATTGAATTGGCGAGAAGGGTTGAGGGGCCTCTGGGGGGAGGACGTACGGATGCTCGTCGACGAAACTGGAGACATTGTAGACTTTGTTGTGGATGACGAGGTAGAGATCTTTCTTGGAGGAGTGCTGCGACACTTCCGCGTAGGTGATTGCCTCTGTTCCGGACATTGTGGTCGAATTTGAGACAATTGGCGGTGTGCTGCTGCTGCTGCTGCTGCTGCTGCTACTGCTGCCTGGAGGGGGACCGACAAATTTTGGCGTACCAGAGGAAGGTTTGAACGATGAAGCAAAAGAGATCGGAGGCTACGGGTATTCTCAATTTGGACCGGGCAGACCGAGGCTTGGTCGGGATTAATCCAGGTATTTACTAAGCTGGGTGAGTTGGAGATGAGGAAGATTCCTGAATCGCGTTACAGACCGATGGGACCCTATCTGGAGAACGTGTCCGCCTCGTCCGGCCGTCCAGCCGTCCAGCTTTCGGACGTTGTGCGTGCTGCACAGCTTCCTGAAGCGGGATGCCAATTACCGTATACTGCTTCCGTCCACCATTCTGCACTGCATCTGTCTTCACAACCATTACCAGGGTGTTCCATGTACTCGCGGCAACAATTAAATATAGCACTTCCATCTACCAGACTTTCCATCTGCTCGGAAAACTGCCCGCCTTTGCCCGCAATGCACAAGGCCCGATGCTGGGCATCAATAATGATTACTACTAGTAGTACTGGAGCAGCCTCCTCGGGATAGAAAGCAGGCCATATTGAGTAGGTAAGCTACTTTATCGAGCCTCCCCCCCATTCCGCCCACCAGTCCACCCTGCAGCGATTGCCAGCCTTGCAATGCTGAGCATTCCACAAGTGTTGCGAACCCTTGGCGCCTGAACTGAGCTGCAGTGCTGCTGCAGTGTCCGTCTATACTGCCTTCTCCAACAAGTAGTAGATTACCGTAAAATCTATATCAATCAATAGCCATCGGTCTGTTGATGTCTGCTAATCTTGAAATCAACTGAGGATGAGACTTATAAGACTTCTACGTAGAATAACAACTCGAAGCAAATATCCTTAACATCTACGAAAACGAAATTTGGGAATCGTAAGGACACCCGCTTCATTTGAAATAGAAACTGTAACAGATTACAAGCCTCTATGGCCTTGAAGATCCATTTCTCTATCTCAATAGACAACAGCAGCAGCAGATTCTCTGCTCGCCGAGACCCTCGCAACACTTTTTGGAACGCCACAGCAGTGTCAACTCGCGGAGCCCAACGTTGCATCTTCAGCCCACATATCCACCAACGCTGCCAGCAAATAGAGAGCAATGGGCCAATGCGTCATGCAAGCCTCTGCCTGCAACGGCGATCCTTTCGGACATGAGTACGATACTCGGTAGCTGGACTTCCAGAACTGGAGCCGTTTGTCCAACAGCGTAGTATGCAGTTAGCACAGTCCGCGGCATGAAATACGGAGTATTCTTAGCACATTCCCAGGAACAGGGCTGGTTGCCAACGCATCGCTTCCGCTCCCTTCTTCCAGACGCTTTCTGTTGTCTTCATCACATAATAGCCAGCTCAATCTTTACCACTTGGCTCACCCTCGCGAAGCTGCTGGCTTTGGCTCGGCAGCTTTTTTGACCCCGATTTACTAACTTAGCTCTAAGCTAACAGCTCTTCTACCCGGAAGACCGCAATACTACCTAAGTTAGTACGTACCTCATGATAGCTCAAGTACCGTTCCGATTACTCAATGGGTATCTGAACTTCCGTATACAGCGCCTTTGTCCACCGATCGGTCATGCAGACATTTGCGGTCCCGGTCCCGTTGCTAGTTGAGCTTGGACCGAAGGACCATACTAGGTACCGAACTACTTGCTAACTAGGTCTTTTTTCCTCTGGATGGATAGTTGAAGATATATACGCACACACCCACCTACTTCCACAAGTACTGTCGTTCAAAAAGAATGACGAGACATTATGCGAAGCTGGTACAAGTCTTCTGTCACCGGAAGCATTGGAGATACAGATCGCTATCCAGTTCGAGGTTTGGAACCCTACTCCGAAGCCAACCCCCAAGTACGGAGTACTGGCTTGTAATCTTGTGTATCTACTTCAGCACTGCTGTAACTGACAGTTCACTCGGATTCTCAGTATTGATAGTGGTCTGTTATGTAACTGAAATTATTTTCATCATTGGGGCTCGTGGACCCACTAGCAGGCTGTACGTGAAGACCGGAAGAAATATCCTCATCCCTGTGACAAAGCCGTCTAAACTCGCTCTATGCAATGTACAAGTCGGATATCTTCGCTGGAAAAAGAACACTTTTGATGAAAAGCAAGACACTGGTTACCTTCCGCATAAAGACACGCGCGCCCTTCAGCTCCAAGGGACAAGAGCCGTGAACCGAGATTGTTTCCGAGACGAGGGAAGTTGAGTACAGTTCGAGTCCAGATTGGTGACATGCTTATTTCACACCCAGCACCTTGAGGTCAAAGATGAGTTTCGAGTTCGGGGGAATCTTCGGTGGTGCACCTTTGCTGCCGTAACCGAGATTTGCGGGGATTGTCAGTCGTCGCTCCCCACCAACAGCCATGCCCATTACACCGATATCCCAGCCTTTGATAACCTCGCCAGCACCGAGTCTGAAGCTGAAGGGTTTACCTTTTTTGTTTGCTGTAGAAGTAATGGGTAAGCATACGCTCCAATCGATAGAGAAGGGCATTCTGGAGCCAAATAACATTGCGCGACTAACCATCAAAGACTTTGCCGTTTTCCAGCTTGCCAATGTAGCGCATCTCAACATGACTTCCTTTCTTCGCCTGTGGTCCACTGCCCAATTTCCGATCATCCACTGTCACTCCTTGCATGTCTTTCACCCCAAGAGAGCCGCCTGGCTGCTTGGTCTCTTTCGGGGTCTCTTTCGAGCCATCCTTCGAGACGTCTTTTGATGGTGGTGTGGCTGAGGGTGTCGGACCTTGCTCTAAATTCTTGGCGAACTGGACTTTCTTCTCGCCGTTGCTGGCGGCTTCCTTCTTCTCAGTCTTTGACTCCGTCTTTGAAGTGGCTGTCGAGGGTGTTTCTACTGGCGCAGCTTCTCCGTCATTCTTTTTGAGCTTCTTCAACTTCTTTTTCTGGCTCTTGCTAAGTGGCTTCTCATCTCCATTTGTGGTGGGCTCGGACGGCTTGATCGACTTGGACATGATATCGTCAAGATTGGCCTCGTCCTCATCCGAGTCTTCTGCAGGCCGCTTGTTCTTTCCTTTGGTAGCTGGTTCGACCAATTTTGGGGCTTCTTCATCGGTATCAACTTCCATTACTCGAGGATCAGCCATGTCATCAAGCTCGTCGCTTTCTTCTTCATCTTCCATGTCCTCCAGCGCATCGAGTTCGTCCTCATCTGGAGAGAGGTCGTAGTCGTCTTCTTCCTCATCCCCGTAAAGTCGGGCCTGGCCGTCGTCGATTGGAATGACATAATTGCCTGTGAGATGGACCTCGTGTGTGCCAGAGACTTTGAAGAAGATCTTCTCATCTTCGCCCACAACTATATCAAGAGGCTGCTGGTAGTGCTGCACCATGTCAATCTCGGATCATGCGCTGCTGAGGAAAAACAATCACTTACCTTCTCAGGATCAAGTGTGCAGATGACGACTTCCTCTAACTCCAGACTATCTTCATCGTCATCAGCTTCTTCGCCGTTTTCGGTCGCTTTGCCTTTGCCTTTCATGATTTTCATAAGAGCACTCTTAGCAGCGGCCTCCTCCTCGGAGTCATCCTCTTCCTCTTCATCATCAGAACCCTGCTCGGCAATTGCTTTCACAAGATCCAGCTTATTCGGCTTCTTCGCTTTTGACGGGTCACTGGGGCCACCATTTACCTCTTCCTCTTCTGACGAGCTCTCCTCAACTTCATCACCCTCCATCTCATCGTAGTCTGAGTCTTCTGAGTCGTCATCCCCGAATAACTCCGCAGGTACGCGAATAAGCTTCAATGTAGCTCGAGGTGTCTTCTTCTCGTCACCTTCCGCAAATTCTGGCTCTGCAGTAGGATCAATGGCTGCCATTGACAGGCGAAACATGGCTGCGAAGTCTGGGACTGCGGGGACCATCACATCGCCTGCAGGGACTTTCATGGCGTAAACCGCCACAGGCTGAGTGCCTGACATGATGTCGAGCTATGTGCTGCTATCAAAACAGACTTAGTAGGAGGACAAAGTGCTGGAGTTGTCTGCTTTTCCGAGTCTGTGAAAGCGTAGAGATATTTTTGAGCTTCTGCTCTGACGAAGAAAAATCGAGGCTGGCAAAAAATTAAGGTTTTGGGAAGCTCCAATTTTTGGCGGCCAGCCGTTTTTACAATGTGTTCTCCGTACAGTCAAGGTTTGGAGGTAACATACTAGTAATACGCTGTAATCTTACGAATCTGGAGGGGGATTGTGGCGTCATCGCATTGAAAGAAATACCCTACAAGCAGACCGCCTCCGGAAATTGAATGATACGGCGAGACTCTTGCAACTGAACGATGGTGTTCGATGATGAGTGAAATATCTGGCCCACCATGGGCTCCCGATTAGAAGCCAACTCTGCAAATGTACGCAAGAGGATTGAGAACCGTGAGTCTCGGACCTGCTGAAGCATGCACGCCCCTGACAATTTCTAGATACATTCGACGATGAGCAAGGGGAAGAATATGAGGCCTCCAAATTTGGAGGGTTTCCCGACTATTTTCGGCGGAAAAAGCTCAAGCTTCAGAACCTTGATGTGGAGCTTCGGTCTCGGTCAACTCACAATCCACATATCTTCAAAGGAGTCGTTGCACACGTCAATGGCTACACTCAGCCTTCACTCAACGACCTTCATACTTTAATAGTGAGCTACGGAGGTGGATTCATGCAATACCTTGATGGCAAGACAGCCGTTACGCACATCATCGCAAGTAATCTGACGCCTAAGAAGAAGGTTGAATTCGCCAGATATCGAATCGTGAAACCTGCATGGGTGGTGGATAGTGTCAAAGCAGGGAAATTGCAGCCTTGGGATGCATATAGAGTGGTTGATGAGGGTGTTAAGCAGAAAGTACTTGGATTCGACAACGGACGTGTTGTCAGCCAATCTAATAAACTGCAATCAAGCTATCGAGAGCAAACAGAGTCGAGTTGGTATACGTCGCAAATACGAAATGATGCCGAAGGCCCCGTCGAGGATGCTCCCTTGAGCGAAAGTACAGAAGCTAAGCCAGAATATCCGGACCCAGCTCCTACCGCACAAACTCGATTGCTTCCTCGTTCGGAATCATCAGCTGGGAGTGACACCTCTGCTGCTATACTAACACCGACAACGCAAAATGACGTAGGCTTCCTGGTTGACGAGTTTGGGACAGAGGACGTGGACGCGGAAGCTGGGGTCAAGGAAAGTGAGCTGATGGCCGTCAATCAGCAATCGTTTCCCGCAACAGTGGAAGGAAACGCCACTTCTGATATGAGAGAAAATTCTGCAATCAGAAAACGTTGCACCTCTTCCGAGGACCCTATGCACAATTCTGGTGTACTTGCGCAGCAGGACACTGCAATTGGGAATGGAAAACCAATGCTTAACGAATCGAAAGAATCGCCCCAGGAACGAACCATGGACTCCTTGGGAAAGCGTAATTTAACAGCAGAAGAGCATAATGCGCGGCTACTGTCAGATCCTCACCTTGCTAAATCGAGTACAGCAAATCCAGACTTTCTAAACCAATACTATCGCGAGTCGCGTCTTCACCACCTGTCAACCTGGAAATCAGAACTGAAGGCGCAACTGCAAGCGCTAGCAAGCGAGCAGACCTCGTCTCAGAAATCACGACAGAAGCGACCCCCCGGAGCAAGAAGATATATCATGCATGTTGACTTTGACAGCTTTTTCGCGGCTGTCAGTCTTCGAAAACATCCGGACCTTGTGGACAAGCCTGTGGCCATCGCTCATGGCGGTGGACCTGGATCTGAAATTGCCAGCTGTAATTATCCAGCTCGCAGCTTTGGCGTCAAGAATGGCATGTGGATGAAATATGCTTTACAGCTCTGTCCGGATCTCAAAACGCTGCCTTATGACTATAAAGCTTATGAGGAAGCAAGTCGACATTTCTATGATGCCATCATTGCCACAGATGGCATAATACAAAGTGTTAGTATTGATGAAGCTCTGGTCGATATAAGCAATCAGTGCATTGCTGCGGGCGGTAGCGACGGAAGAGGTGTTCTGGAAGGTTCCATCTATCGTGAACAAACAAAGGCTGACAAGATCGCGAATCACGTACGAGCTTTGATCAAGGAGAAGACGGGCTGCGCAGTCTCAGTCGGTATTGGCAACAACATACTCCTTGCCAAGGTTGCACTCCGAAAAGCGAAACCTGCAGGTCAGCATCAGATCAAGCCTGAAGAAGCACTTGACTTCATTGGGGAGCTTCTTGTTCACGATCTTCCAGGTGTTGCACACAGCATTGGTGGCAAATTGGAAGAGATCGGTGTCCAGTATGTCAAAGACATCAGAAGCTTGACAAAAGAGCGCTTAGTGAGCGTTTTGGGTCCGAAGACGGGTGAAAAATTGTGGGATTACTCACGTGGAATAGACAAGGTAGAGGTTGGGGATCAAGTCATCAGGAAGTCCGTCTCGGCTGAGGTGAACTGGGGCATAAGGTTTGTGACCCAACAGCAAGCCGATGAATTCGTTCAATGTCTTTGCGATGAACTCAGTCGGAGGCTGCTTGAGCAGGGGTTCAAGGGTCGACATCTGACAATGAAGATCATGCGAAGAGCAGCTGATGCCCCACTCGATCCGCCCAAGAATCTGGGACATGGCAAATGCGATACCTTCAACAAGAGCGTGGTACTTGGAGTGGCTACGAATGACAAAGCTCTTCTTGCTAAGGAGGCTCTTTCGATTTTGAAAGGGTTCGCATTCTCTCCAGGCGAATTGAGGGGATTGGGTGTTCAGATGCAGAAGCTGGAGCCTTTAAAGCCTACAGGGATTTCGGTCCCACCGAATGCTGATAGCAGCCAGCGGAAATTGCAGTTCAAGCAGCCCTCTGCTACGACATCTCAACATGCACGGAATCCTTCACCGCTCGAGAATGTTCAATCGTCTGCATCGCCAACGCTCCTCAAGAAGCCCACAAAACTTCAGCATCATCCTGATCCCATTGAGCGGAGCCCGACGCCGGAAGAACAGAGACGTCCTGAGCCCATCAAAGGCGCTCTGTCCTCGACACGTACTGAAACCTCAGACGCCAAGTACAAGCCCCTGAATATCACCGGAACACAGTTTGTCCTACCGTCACAGATCGATCCATCCGTGCTTGCCGAGTTGCCTCCTGATGTCCGTTCGAAGCTTGCTCCAAAGCAGAAACGAATTATTGACGCTCTAGTGCCACAACACCAGCCACACTCGCCTCCAAGGTCCCGATCTCAGTCACCATTTGCTTCCGTTGCAGACCTTCCTAACCAATCCCAGCTAGATCCTGAGACCTTGAACGCCCTGCCCGAAGACGTGAAGAATGAGCTGCTATCTTTCTACCACTCCGAAGCTTCAAAATCAGATTCTCCAAGCCGCCAACGGCAATCACTGCCTCACTCGCCACGAAAACCAAAGTCAGGCCTTGTAGCCAAGAAGCTGAATCTCACACCCACCAAAAAGCACAAAACCTCCACTCTCCTAGGCAGAGGCAGAGGCAGGCCACCAAAGACCATCTCGAATTCCAGCACTACATCTACCCTCACTCAGTCCAACTTCGTCGCCAATCCTATCAACAACAGCAAGAGATCCTTCCCTCGCCCAACAGAAACAGCCACAGATCACTCCGAACCAGATTCCGATCCTCAACCAGCACCACCAGCAGAGATATCTGAGTCCTTTCTCTCTGCCCTGCCACCAGACCTCCGCCGTGAAATCCTAGACCAACAAAAACGGGAACGTCTCAAACAGCGCTCTGGTCTCGACATCTCCACCTCGAAAAGACCGCTTGCCCAGCGAGCTCCGGCTGACCCACCTGGTGCAGGCCAGCGAAAACTCGTCCTTCCTCCACGCGATGAGATCCCGACCTTCACGAGCAGGAAACTCTCCACCATTGAAGAATTGAGGGATGCGATGAGCGGGTGGGTGGAGGAGTTCTCTGCTACGCCGGCCGAAACCGACGACGGCGACGGCGAAGCAGGGGATGAGATTGCGGGACCGTATGACGAAGATGTAGAAGCCCTGGCTACCTATCTCGCCAAGGTGGTTACGGTGGAAGGGAATATGGAGAAGGCGGTTAGTGTTGTCACGTGGATTGAGTGGTTGGTCGGGGAGCTGGAGGAGGAGAGACAGAGAGATGCTTGGGAGCGCGTCTTGGAGCGGCTGAAGGCGCGTGTCCAGAACGCCGTGAGGGAGCGGGGTTTGGGAGTCGTGGATTTTGGCTAGTTAGTTTAGTTAGCCGCCCTGGAGAAGGGGCATCATGATGTTGGGATATTGCGTGCAACCTGCTTCTGTTACAAATCGAATGGGTGTCGAATTCTTGGAAACTTCTTCGACCGCCACAAAAGTTGCTATGGTTGGGTGGGGGGGAAGTCTACTGAGTTGCCAGCTTTGGCTCGAATCTTGCCCGCTATAACTACTAACTACTACCACTCAGGAGTGTGTGTGTCGTGGATGGGGATAGCGGGCTTCCAATCCCAATTATTTGTAACCTCCTCGCCTCGGTGTTTCGCTCGCGGATTGCCCATCCATTTTCCCTCGGTTAGTTACCAGAGGCCTGCTGGAGTGCCATGTTGCGCCTTTGCATTGCATTGCATTGCCGCTGTGTGCGTTTTCTCCACTGATTACGTTACTGGCGCAGTAAGGAGTCGAAAATATTTTTCTCCTCTTGGTCACTGACTATTAGTATACAGTTAGTTTAGTTGGCTTTCTACATTTTCATTAAGGCACGATCAGTTTCTCTATCTCTCTCTCTGTGTCTGTGAAGGGGCTTACTAGTTATTATATAAATGACAAGCTCCCCCACCCATTTAGTTATCTTGATTCTACAAAGCAGAGCGAGCATCGAGAGGGACAAGAGCTATGTAACCAGAGAATACGTCTTAGACACAGACCAGAAAAGAAAGAGTCACGTGCCACGAATGAGATATGCTCGGCTTCGACTATGTCAGACTGGATTGAGATGGGCATGATTGAAAGCAGCTGACTTCCATGGAGCCGTACCGAGGTGAGACACGACCGCATTGAGATAGAAGAAAATAAGAGGAGGCGAAGGAGATAAGGGTCTGAACGAATGAGAGCTGGCAATAATGGTTGTATATGGGCATGCCAAAGGCTGCTAGGAAAGGGTAGGAGGCGACCACGACGCGACTCCAGTCCACAAGCCTCACGTAGTGAATTACAAGGTTTGAAATCGACTCAGCTGAAACGAGCACTTGGTGCATCTTGGTTTATTGCGTCTTGCGAAGGCTCAGTGAGAGCGTCTAGGATGGTCATGGTATGGGAGCATTTTTCTCCCTTTCCAGTTGCCACCGGTATTTTTGACGAGTGACCTTGTCCTGTTAAGAACCCCGAGCGACATGGATGCTATGGCTGCACCAGTTACAGCTCAGGATCCCCAAAACATAGGTAGCATCTCATGATCATTGGCGAGCGCTGCTCCATCCTAGTCATCACATGATGACTTCATTGGCAACATCGCGCTTCAACTCTTTGTAGGGTAGACAGACACAATTCTGCACCCGAACTTCATCTCCAACTCCACATTCTTTGCCAAGGATTGTAATGCTTTGGACTTTTACGCCATTTTTGACGATGCTGGTGGTGTGATTCCCCACAGGGGTAGGGCTACCCTCGACTCTTGCCCAGGCCCCAACCCTGCTGTTCCAGCCAATAATCGAGTACAGAACACAGGCATCATGCTTGATTTCAGCTTCTTCCAACACGATTGACTCCTTGACTCGAGCTCCAGCACCAATGACAGCCTTTGGCCCAATGGAGACGTTGGGTCCCAGCTTCGCGGTCGGGTCAACTGTGGCTGTAGGATGGATGAAGACTGGCGGGAGGATGTTGGCTGACGGTGCGGCGAGCTCTTCCGATTGTGATTGAAACGCTTTTTGCAGATAAAGTGCATTGGCCGGGACGGCGGAGCCAGCCGTTTTGATTTGCCGCCAGAAATCTTTGGTCTCATGCACGAAAAACCGATTGCTGTCAGCCAGGTCTGAAAGTATATCCTGCTCGAGACGTAGAACCTCATTCTTTTCCGCATCATCATCTTGATCCCGAAAGAATGATGATTCTAGATTCTCTGATGAAGGATACGACACGATACGCGGCCTATCACTGCGCCGCTTTATGGCACTTCGGATCGAGGGAAAGATGCATTCAGTTGCGAAAAGGTAGACGCCACAATTGATGAGGTTGGAAATGTGTGATTCGGGCTTCTCCACATAATGCAAAACCCTCTTTGTGTGCCCATCCGAAACTATGCAACCAAAGTTCGTAGCAGCGTCATTACTGACTCTTGTGCCCAAGATCACCGCTTCTGCGTCTTTCTCCTCGAACAGCTTTAACATCTCGCCAAGTGGAAATGAGCAACACACATCTGCATTGAGCACGAAAAAGCGATCGGGGCTGCCTTTCAAAAGGCATCTCGGAAGTGGTAAAGACCGCCAGCGGTTCCTAGAGCCTGATATTCTCGCAGGTATTGAATCCGTATGTGTGGGAATTCTTTCGCTGCATCGCGGCTAAAATCACGGAACACAGCCTCGTCGTAATAACCGACCAGGATGACCTCTCGGATTCCAGGAACTTTTGCAACTGCACGCAGACAGTGCCAGATTATTGGATGGCCAGCGACATCGAAGAGAGGCTGCGCGCATTTCGGGTCAGTCTGGGATTTAGCAAAGGGTCATCCTCAGCAGACCTTGGGAACATCTAACGACAAGGGCCGGAAGCGAGTGCCACGAGAAGGTCCCCCAACCTGATTACAGAGTCAGCAATGGTGCAGGAGAAGAAATGCTGGAGTACCCACCAGGATGACAGCCTTGGTTGAGGCAGCACTCCCTGTGCCATTCCTGACAGGGACTTGGAGCATGGTACTGGGCGGCGCCGGAAAGAAATATCGAAGATCTGAGAGACGGCCCAGATAGATTGATGTTGGGTGCAGTACGGATCTATAGAAGTATCTGGACGAGAACAGACTGGGGTGATCACGTTTATAAGTTTTGGTTGATGGCAGCAGTGGGTAAGATGTGGACAGCTTGTCGAAGCTCCTATGTAACCAACTAGTCGATTGTCGAGTAACGAGTAACGAGTCAGTAACGCGCTTACCATTAGCTTGCAACGAAGCGGGCTTGGCATCCTGCACTGCTTAGCAGGAAGAGGCCCGATGGCACGTGCCAAAAATAATGATAGTTCGCGCACCCTCTTAAACAACCCACCTTTTTCTAACATCTATAGCTCTACCAATTCTGCTCAAAATTCTCAAAAATGGCTCGTACACGCAAAACCAACAGAAAAGCATGTATGCAGCCTGATCCTACGCTCATTTTGAGTCCAAAAGCCCCTCGTCAGTCAAATACAATAGTTGATACACCCCGTCGCGTATATGACTTCTTTGTGACGCGTAAGCTACTGCAGGCAAAATGACTCGAAAAGAGCTCTTCAAAGCACATAATATAGCTGAAGCAACGGGCTATCGAATCCTTAAATCGAAAATAGCGCGCTGAAGCGAACGCATCCATAATCGAGGTCGAAAAGCTATTTTAGCTCCTCACGAACGGGATGCTATTGAAACAGTCGAAAATGCTTCATTTCGCTTTGGAACTTCTACTCATTTAGCTATGACAAGCTTACTTGGCCTAGCTAACGGATCTGAACGCGCTATTCAACAAAATATAACTGAATATAGAGTGGGTACATATATAGCACAACAGAAGAAATTCATACGCCAAGCATCAATTGAAAAGCGCAAAATTTGGGGATTTGAACATCAATATTAGCATTCAGATCAATTCAAATGCTATCGATATAGTGATGAATGTCACTTTGCTTGTGCCCTTCAATAACAGACTCGAATTCATCGTCGCTGTGGCAAAAAGGCTCGAAATGCGCCAGAAAAGATTCAATTTCGATTCAAGCGGCGCAATCAAATTTGGCACGTTTTTGCGTATATTAGATGGAATTTCAAGAGTCAGCTTTACTTCTATAAGGGCTCAGGAGTTAGGGGACACTTAATTCAAGCTGATTATTCAACATTTTTGAGTGATTTTGTTGCTCCTAATTAGGGGAAGAGGATTGGATACTTTTAGAGGATAACGATAATGCCTATGGCACTCGTGGTAAGGGTAATAATCGACTCAAAAGAATCAAGGAGCAATTAGGCATCAAATGGGAAGCAAATCCTCTAGAATCGCCAGATCTCAACCCAATTGAGACTATTTGGAGGATAATAAAGCGCAGCGTTTGAAGAATCGCGGCCTGATTTAGATCCTGCAGAATTACGACGTGCTATTGAGGAGGAATGGGATAAAATTACCCTTGATGAGATCAATAAGGCAATATCTACGATGCCAGATAGGGTAACTGCTGTAAATGAACGAGATGGGTTGCCTATACCCTATTAAATAGATAGAATAGATGGTGGTTATGCGCGAACTATCATTATTTTTGGCACGTGCCATCGGCCCTCTTAAAATAATGCTAGGAGAGCCATCAAAGTGCGCTTAGACTAAGCATAACCATGATATTACTTAGAGGGTATAAGGATATACAATTTAGTCGTCTGTGATCTAATAAAATCTTATTATCTATAATGTATTTTACTGAAAGTATGATTATAATATGATCAAAATATGCCTCTCTTATTATATTAATATGGTGGTCATTTGACAGAATGACTGTCATTTCTACTAATGGCACCTGGCTCATATCTTTAGCTACCCCTTCTCCTGGTAAGTGCAGTGGCAGTCTTCACCAAGCCCAAGCTTAAGCTTCAAGTAGCTCACCCTACGAGTAAGAGCCGCTCCTTCGATCCCTATCTGTCCTTTGGAGGCGCGTATGCTAAGGTAGTAAGGGTTGACCGCTCGTTTCTGTGCATAGCATATCATTGAAACTATCTATACAGGAAGAGCGACAAGCTCAGTCAGCTATGGTGTTCCAAGAGATATGTCCAGAACAGTGAACAGCTCTTCTCAGCGCCGAAATATGATCAATGTAGTTGTACATGGGAAACCACCTCACAGAAATGCAGTAACACGAGATGATGGATGACAGATTGTCACTGAACCCGCCCAGCATGATCTCGGCCATGACAACATCACGTAAACCCCCGAACTTCGGATAGCCCAACATAGGCTCCGGTTGAAATGCAACAATGTACTCTCGGAAATGCCGATGAAAAGGCCACCCTCCAGATGATATCGAAGCGCCTGGCTAACAAGGAATCACCGCTAAACGTAGACCGAGTACAAACAGGAGACGTCGGAAAGAGCTGCCGTTGAATGTATACTAGCACGGTTCAAGAGAAACAAGAAGGATTCGATGCCTTACTTGTACCATTGTCTGGTCTCACGTGGTTCAGGTGTTGGTTGAGGAGAAGCTTGAAGTTATCCCGAGTGCAGGTCTTGGGAACAGCTGTGCCTCCAGACGTTTAAGATGCTGCATGTCACGCTTTAGTGGAGGGGAAATGTCTGCATTCCTTCCCAGGAATTCGATGGTGCGTGTGAAGAGGCCCTTCAGCTCCCTCCCATCAATAAGTGGCCGTAGATATGAATTGTAGGCGGCACTCAGGATCAACATATTGCCAAACTGACTAATTCATCATCAGCAATCTATGATCTTGAAGAGTTGTCTACTGAGACTTACGCATGCCCAGTGCCGAAGATGTTGGTAACAATGAGGCGGGGCGGCACCGCATCAAACGCTGTGGTACTGCGAATGGCCGCTTGAATGCAAGCTATCACTCCATGACGTATCTCGGGTTTCAACGCTTGCACTGTCTTCACGGGACGACTTTCGGACTGAACTGGCGATCCCGCATAACCATCGTGGTGCTGCATGCTCGCTGTATGATACTTAAGTGGGGCTGTTGGTGAGGTTTGCTGTGATAGTCGTGCTTGGCCATTGAAGGGAGATTCTGACTGCGGACAAGATATCGTGGACCAGTCATCGTGCAGAGCAGCATGCAGTGTTGGCCTATTGATGATGACTTTTGCCCCATAGTACTTAGCTCTCATGCGAGCGGCGTTGATGTCCGGAGTGAGGTAGTTGTTGTCATCCCAAGCCATCTCTGGACTGCAATTGTGTGTAATCTCGCGCCAGCCTTCTAACGCCACCATCAGGGTCTTTTGGATCGGTAGTTGTAGCGCTATGGACAGTCAGCGTTGGCGACAGCAGCATTGCAGGCAATGCCAGCGACATGATTCGACGTGTACTTACTAAGCTTTTCCTTTTCATATAACGAATTGTGGATCGAATTGAGTGTTATCCTAAGCGATATCTGAGCGCAGTAGTATTTGACTTCCACTGCTTGGACCTTTTGATCTGTCTGATACACTCCATGCTCTTCATCCGAAAAATGAATACCGTATGGCAGGTACTCATTCATAAAAGCTTCGTATCGTGAAATGCCACTTTGTGGGAGCTGCAACTCGGCGAGGATATCGCTCTCTAGCTGAAGGCAGGACCAATAGGCGTATTTCACAAGTTCCACATACTTAGTGCTGCTCTGCCCGGGAAACCTCTTGCTAAAATTTTGATCAGAAACAACGATGTGATTGCTGGGTAACAACTTACGGGTTGATCAGCACCTGACAAGCTTTACCGGCTTGTGTGATCCAATCATGGCTTGCTAGTACCTGGGCTATCTGGCCCATGTAGAGACCAGCCAGCAGTGCCGCTTGGACGTGTGAGAGGTCGTACCCTCCCCGGAGACCGCCAAGTATATCGCAAGCCACGTTGTAATAGGCCAGACCCGGAATCACGTCAACATTGTTTCTTTCAGCTTCATGCCTATCCGGAATATTTGCGACCACGACTCGCGACCTTGTGCTCAGCTGGTGATATGGTGATTCGGCTGGTGGGGAGAACGGATCTGAATTTGAGCTTCGTGGGGTAGGGGCGGAAGTTGGTACGGTGGCGGAAGAGGAAGCTGGAGGTGAAGCAGGTAAAGGGTCCTTGTGATCACAAATCATGCCGAGTGCTAGCACGAGGAGCACGATTGCGTTTCTCACAGATCGTTCGACGCTTATGGCGTTGGCTGCGGCAGAAGGACGGTACAATTCATGGCCAGGAGTGAGCGAATCGTCTGCTTCATGTTTCCTCTTCCGGTTCGGCCCCGAACGGTCACGACTGTACCTACTCTTAAATCGGACAACATGGTCTTTAATGGTCTTCTTGTCGAGAAACGGATGGAGGATATAAATGTGTTTCATGTAGCTGTGGAAATATTTGTCTACCAAGTCGGGTTCATAGTTAGGATTGCCATCGGGACCGAGGCCTCCCGGATGCTCTCCGTGGCTTGAAGGATAAGGGGCCCGAAAGCCATAACCCCAAAGAGATTCTGCAGGTGGGGAAGGCGAATCATCGGTTCGCACGCTTGATGAGCTGTCAGCCGGACTTGCTGGGCCCTGGCCGCTGTCCATTTTATCATGTCCCTCGCCTCGTCCATAGAGGCGTAATATTCCTCGACGTTCTTCTTCGTTCATGACATAGTCGGGGTTGGATTCAAGCCCGAACTCCTTGATCGACGGCCAGAGAAGTAGGTTCTGTGCTGCAGTTGTGTGACTGTGGGGAAGGGAATTTTCTTCCTTATTTGCGGTATTGGCAGGGATGACGAAGTCGACATGATTCGGCGCGTTTGTTGACATAAGGCCCTGCTGGTTGTCCACTGGAAGCCCCTGCGAGGACTGCCACGTGGCTGTAGTTTGTAACGCTGTGCTGGCTGTGGCCTGCTTCTGAGGTGACAACACTTCTTTCCTCTCATATACGTGCAAAATTTGATTTAGCTTCTCATTGGTTGCATGCTGCATGTTGCTCAACTCACGCTGCATGCTGCCCATTTCTCGTTGTAGGTTGTCGATCTTGGCTTCAAGCGCGAGTGCATTCCTGTCTTGTTTGTGGGGAGGAATGTCTCTATATGTACAATGCAAGCTATTGTCTTTGCAATGACTGCAAGGTCGGGCCTCGTCACATTTGGCCTTTCTGGTCCGACAACTATCACAGGCCTGCTGGGCCCGAACAGGCTTCTTAGGCCGTTCACGGTTGACCGCGGGATGATTCCAAGGTAGTCCTTGGTAATACGTGTCGTGAACAGGGCTAGGACCTGGACCGGGCCCTGCGGATTGAGGATAGGAATATGGGCCGTGTGGAGTTTGTTGGAATGGTTGATGTCCAGGCATCACTTCTTGACCGGTAGCAATATGAAGGCCTGTAGGATGGCTTCCATTGGGCGGTACATCAGGCGGAACATATCCGCCTCTGTTCCTGTAGTCGGGAGGAACCTGCTGCGATTGGTACGGCCCGTCCGGAAGAGTGCCATTCACGTGATGCAAGACTTGAACATTTCCATCACCGGGCGATCGAGGTTGTGCAGAGATTGAGCCGGCCCTGCTGCCATATGGCACTTCAGAGGGGTAGGTGTTTTCTCGGCTTGGAGGTGGGTAAGAATTTGAGTGCTGAGATACCTCCGAGCTCTGTCTAGGCTCGTTCGCGAAAGGTGATGGAGGCGGTGCCCATCCCGCTGAGCCAGCGCCGTAATTCGATCCAGCGCCCGAAGGCTGTGGATAATTGTGCGACGCAGGGTCGGATGCTTGCATTCGGTGATGTTGGACTGTTGGCGACGGAGCATAAGAATTTGGGCGCAAACGCTTCTCATCTTGGGCTACCTCCATGTTGATTGCGTGAGGGGATACCTAGCCATCAACTCAAACGGGAGAGTGGATTCGTCGCGAATCACAGATAAATGGCGCGTCACATGATGTTATTCAAATAGCCCAACTTCTACGCCTCTGTGGTTCCCATCACACCCTGTCCAGGGACTCGCTGTACGAGATACCGAGTGCAACTCAGCAATACTGTGATATTCAAGGTTTTGAGCGGGTCCCCGAAGTTGCTGCAACGTCGCAGAAGGAAGCCCACAATGGTCAGGAGGCGTAGGAGTAGTGAGGATTTGACCTAGAATTCCGAGAAGGAAGGAGAATGCGTAATGCAGAGCTGTCCCCCGCAGTATAACAATCAGGTGGGGAGATCTCCAATTTTGGTGACCGCTTAATCGAAGGTTATGACAACTGACAAGCAGTCCTTTCAGAGGTGAGAAGAATGAAGATGCGCAGATTATGCTCAAGGGCAATGTGCAAGGTCGATGCGGATAGAGAATGATGCACAAGCTCCAGGATGTAAGTAACGTACGATCTTGGCCGGGCTGGGAATGTCTGAAAAAGCCTCCACGGAGAAGGAGTAATTGGTTGAAGCGAAAAACTAGGTATAGATCGCTAACCTACTGCGATGGCAGGGTAAGTGGAAAAGCGTCCCAGAGGCTTTTACCTGTGCAGTGTCATGGAGGTGACAGTTCAAAGGGTGGCCCAACTAACCACAATAAACATCTTCCAGCAATCGTTAGAAGGTCACTAAGATAACTTTGCAGGGGGGGGGAGGGCGGCCCAAACAAGACCAGGGCAATGGTGGACACCACATAGTTGGATTACAGCGAAAAAATGGCTTCAGCTGATCAAACAAACTTTTGCTCCCACGTGTGGCAATGACAGTAACCGAAATGTATGGTGAATGTTTTTATGCATGCCTCTCGATCAGTTTCACGAAGGTCCACTTGCTCCCATTTTGGCTCCCCTTAGTAGATGATGGCTGTTATCGCATGGCCAAGGAGCAGGGTGTTAGGTCATAAGAATATCTACTCGAGTACTATTGACCTACTACGTACACCCGACCCAACGCGCTGGGTCCTTGACGCCGGTCATGTCGGCAAATTTATCGTAGTTACCCACAGTTGATCTGAGGCGCCATTTCGCATGGAAAGTGTGACAAAGCAGTTCTGTTTCAGCCAGCGACTCAGCTTGAGTGGATCGATTGCTCGGGCTTCACCTTTCAAACGAGAGCTGAACTCGGGCTACTGGGATAAGATTTCTGGATTAGGCTCACACGACACGTTCCGCCGAGTGAGGCTGCTCTTTGCTGGGTGCTGGTAGACCAGGATTCCCCGTCTTTTCTTCAGCAGTACTCCGTACGAGTATTGATCTCTGTGCGTACTACGTACTCTGTAGTAACGTTTGAGTGAGCTAATCGGGTTAGCAAGCATGGGCAGCAAGCATGGGCAGCAAGCATGGGCGGCAAGCATGGGCAGCAAGCACGGGACAGCAAGCAAAATTGCCAACCACGAAAAGTGCTACGTAGAGTAATTAAGTGTACCGAGTACGGTTTTGAAAGAAGGTTGCTTCTACAGCCATGTGGGTAAGATCTACGTAAACCACAATTTAGCAATGTATTCCAACCTTGATGGGTCCGTGGCTGGCCAATCAGTCTCTTTGGGTGACCAACGCGCACGTGGCTACTAGTTAGGGGGAGGTGCCCGATCTGCTGATATTTGGCGTCAACCTAGGCTAGGCAGACAGACGTCAGCATTATTGTTATTGCTAACTCCGAGTTTCGAGCGGCTATCTCAGGCTGGCTAATACTGATACCAAGGTAAACACCGGAATTCGAGCAAAGGCCTATGATTTCATAATGTAAGGTTTCCGCGGAGCATGTACGGAGTACTCCTACAACTAACAGGACAACAGTTCTCGTGCAATGCAGTTTTGTAGCCAGTGCGCTTGGTGTTTCTCCATGATATGATGTAAAGGGTGGAGCTTGCTTGTGATGGTGCACTTCACGTTCTAAATTCCTTCTTAGCAGACCCCAACTGAAGAAACCTTGCTAGAAACATGTACACGTTAGGCTAGCACTTTCCCGCTACGATAGAGCTTTCAAGGGTATCGATGCGGCAGATGTTGTTCTTCCTTGACTAAATAGAAGCAGATGGAACGCTGCTGCAAAACTAAGGTAGACTATATCGCCTGGTGCTCAGTCTCTCGTGTCAGGCTGTCTGAATTAGGTTTGGAAATCGTGGCGCAGGGTTTCAAGGGCGGCACCCGTGGACTTGGTCCAAGAAAACCTGGCTGTGGAGGCTACCAGCCATAACAACCTAGTTGTTGGCTATTCATTATTATCCTCGTACTCAGATCGCAGATCATCCATAGCGCGGCATGATAACACTCATAGTGAATTCCCACGGACCCAGGTACGATGTGAGAGCTTTTACTGCGGCCGCCCCCCGAACCCCGAGAACGTTCTCCTCACCCGATTTGGGACTGTTTCAAACAAGTTCTCAAGAATGCCTGCATGTTCTTCTCACCGAATTGTTGATGTACTGATACGAGAGTGGACACTTGTTACGATATCCTGTCAGCCAGTAGATGCAGTACAGACATCCGGCTTAATCTTCTTGACAGGATAAGCAGTACGTCAATCGGAAAATTGCCCGTCGGCGACTTCCTGTGGAGTGATCCACTTCCAAGGCCGCAGCATGCATCAGCGACTCGGCACGTGACCAGGAGGGTCTCCTAAATCGCCGCAGGTCCGACGTTTAGCCAGGTCCATGCTTTTTGTCAACTGATATCGCTCCTTCTTTGCCCTTTTGCTTCGTGCCTTCGGGATGTCCATTCTTCCAACTCACCAACAACACGTCCAGATGAGCGCCGTGGTTACGATGTGAAGCAAGAGTACGCTGCAAGAAATGTGTTCACTCAGTGCTGTTTGGACCCAGTGTAGTAACGCGTATTGGTTGGTTGCAGGTTGATGACAAACTTTTATCTTGACTCCACTTCTGCTGCAGAATGATGGGGACGAAATACGGCTGAACCACAGTAGTGCTGAAAAGAATTGAACATAACCAGTATTAAGCCTCTTACGGGCATAGCTGCCAATAGCGTTTGTCAAAATCCAAGGGATTAAGCACCATCATTACTATCGTTTAAAAGGACGCCCTTGGGGCCACCACCTCGTGATCAAGTAGAGCATTCGCTTCTACAGCCCATCCTATCGAGACTGGAACTCCTTGCTTGCTCTACACGCAGTATGTCCTAACAGGTTATAGTGCTCATTGCCTTCCATGACTCCGATCTTCTGTCGAAGCTGTGAAACTTTCAAAGAACACTGCATAGCTACGCTTCCGCACTAATGGCTTCTCTCAACATCTTCAAAGCTTCGTAGCAAAACGCGGTCATATTCACCGCTCTTTCGTCTCCTAAACCTATGTCCAGTTCCCGAGATGCTATTCTACCCTCAGCGACAGCCACTGCGACATAGCCTCTACCCAGCCGTTCAACGTCCAAAGTAACAAACTTTCAAGAACTTACGGTTAACGGTTCTTTGTTATGTCACCAGTCCGTTCGGCCGCGCCACTCTGGTCAAAGTGTACCAGTTAGATTCCATATGGTACTCGGCTTGCAGTACGCATTCGGCTTACCTCGCAGACACAGTGCCTGGCACCGAGGTTCTCGCGTACGTTCTGGGCGAGTCTGGCGACGATCTGAGGGGAAGGACCTTTATACTCGTCGCTATCGACCTGTGTCCAGCCAGCGAACTGCACCCGAGACTCCAATGTATATAGCTGGCAAGACGTAATCAGAAACGCTCGCGTGTGGATCTGAGAACCCTGCCGTTGGGCCCTCTGTCGCTGATCGTAACAGGTAATCTCAGAGGATGAAGTACATTCAGTCTGATCCGTGATAGAACCGATCTTTTGTAGATCGCTGACGCTCCTAGCTAGGAAACCAACAGAGCTGATCAGTCCTCCTGCCGCTATCCCCAAAACAGCCACCGTCTCTTTTCTTGCTTCAACTCTCCACTAACCTTACAAGCCAAGGGTCAGTAACGGGCTCAGGAAATTGGATCGACATATTGCCGAATCAAGCAAATTGTTGATTGAAATGGATTTACTCTTCGTGTGTAAGATCAGCCATGAAGGATTTTTCATACCTGTGTGATATCATCCTAGAATTAATCTTCTTCTGTTGCCCGCGGAGATGCTACTTCCCCGCTCTGCAGCCAAGGCCAGCATAAATTACTATACACTTGCCAATACGAGTAATAGACCAATGAAAATTCTCTTTTCGAAGCTTATCTGTCGATCTTGGGCACTTATTACCATCGATAATTTCCCGATGTGATTTAGACCAATCATCCATATATGGTACGCCAAAGAATTTGCTCAGACGAGCGGAGATGGCTATGTCTGATAGGAAATTGTGGATGCCTTGGGCATCAACCTAGAAGACACGAAACATTACTACGTACGTAGATCTCGATGGAAAGATTTTGACCTTGAGGACCTTAACATGCGTGGGGGTGATAGTTGCCTAACCAGCAAGTCCTCTGACTCCTGAAAATGATTCAGAATTCAGGATGTTGTCCATGCACTTTTCAAAGCTGCGTGGGCTGCGCCGTTCCCCAGAAAAGAATCCTGGAAGCTGTTACGTAGTTTGTTGACAAACTCTGGATCATTTTGCTCATCCTTCAACCCAGTCTGTTGGCCAATCGTTTGCTCGTCCAGTTTCTTTTGTTGTCTGTTTGCTCCCGGCTAGCGCTAGCAAAGAAAGAAATGTTTGCCCGGCTTTGAATCTGCTACCTACATGCTGCCACAGCTCCTATGAGTTAGTTATGAAGAGCGATTTTACAGAGCCGCGGTATGTTACTTGTAGCAGAGGACTTCGTACAGATTGCTGCCGTGAAAGCGAAGGTATATTCAAGCAGTTTGCCCTCTCGCTTGAGCGGAGTGCGAAGCACTACGTAGACAACTGTCCGGTTTCCTTTGAACATCATGCTCGGTCTTTTTCGGGGCTACATTAAGAAACCCGTGTGCTCAGTGTTTGATATGTTCTTCTTCTGGCTGTGGTCCTATAAGACCACCCAGTACCCTCCTCTCCTTGGTTGCGCATGTTGAGGTAAAGGTGTACCTCCAATCCACCAAGAGCTCTGGCTTTCTGATGAGCATGACCCAGAGGATTGTCCATCCTTTTCGACAATATTCTATCCCACATTATCACCCAATCGATAATGACTGGACTCGCAACTTTGACTTCAGGGCCCAACAAGCAGCTCTAAGCAGAGAGTTCAGCAGATTTACTATGGACAACGCAGATGAAGGGCAAGTCACACGCAGACGCGAGCAGCCAGACTACACCAAGAAGAACTTCAAACGTGCAACAGAGGATCTGCACTCATGCCTTCAAGAAGCACTCGAATTCTTTCCAAGATTCGAGACTGAGTTCAACCACGAGACAAAGGAAATTAAAAGATACAGTGACGAGAAGCTCCTAAACATCATCTGGGAGAAAAAGGTACAACGGTTTGAGAATGGACCTCGAGACACTACTGCGTCGAAATCCGCCGGCAAGCCAAATTCCCATCAGCAGCCTCACGGAGAACAACGACAACAGGAAGAATCAAGCAACAGTACTATCAGCGAACCCAGCATAACAATGTTCCAACAAAAAATTCGAACAACCGTCCAAGCCGTGCTTGAGTGTCGGTACCCAGAGCCCATAGAGGACGATAAAGGCCTTCAGATTCACATCGAAGAGATTCGAGATTACGAAGAAAGGATGCGAAAAACGGCTTGCAGGCTATACAGTACGCTTGGTAGCATTGTGTACAACGTTCAAGCATTTCGCAGGGTAATCAGGGACTTGACGACGATGCTACAAGATTTGAAATTGTACCCCCTCAAGTTATGGAAGGCTGAGGAGGACGAGCCAGAATATTCAGACGGTGGGTGGGTCAGTTCTTGAACCGGAAGGCTTCTCTCATCCAGGTTTGGTATCCTTGTTGCCACTATACTATTTGATTTAAGTAGCGTTCACGGCGTCCCCAACTTATGTGCAAACGTCTGCTTCATGGCAGAAAGATTGTTTTGTTGGATAAACATTCAGCACGCTACCCAATGTTGAACACGACTGATGTATTAGGTACTTAGACCTGGCCATTCTGTGATGGGTATCGTGAGCTCCAGACTATGTCACTCCGAAGTTCACCAGACTTACCGAAAGTTGTGCGTTCTTTATTTCTCCTTAGCACCCTAACCTCATCACCCACATGCATGCTTGCGCCTGCCATATCCTCGTGCAAAAAGCCATACCTGCCGAATACCGGAGACCATTTATTTCCGCTGTCCACCCTCCGATCCTTTTGCAGTTTCTTAAAAATCGAGCCTGCCTCCCCCGTTCCCATCTTCCCTGTGGCATGATCCACGTTCAAACTCTTACAGCGCACGCAATTTTGCGTCAGTACAAGCTTCAATGTATCACCGATTGCCAACTCAGCCCAGAAGTCCTCTTCGAAGTCTTCTTCTGCTCCTTCAATCACAATGTTGGGCCTGAACTTTGTTATGTCAATTGTTTTGTTTCCCGGGAGTCTTAGGTTGGCATTCTGCCAGCTTTTTTCTGTGATAACCAAGTATGGTGCCACATCGCTGAAGGTTAGGCCCTGCTTGACTCCTGGTACATTGCCAATGTTTGGAAGCCTACTGGTCAGACTCGATGTCCATGAGTTCTGTTCTTTCCGCTGTTGTTGCTTCCATGCCACCGAGGGCGCCAAGTTGCCTAGCAGTTCTCTTCTGTTCTCGCCGATGTACGCCAGTATGACTTCGTACCCGAAGCACTCGCTGAACCACTGGTTGTATTTCTGACCCATGTTATACGCGTTTGTTGGACTGGAGTGCAGCGTGATCTCCATCTTGTCAAGTCCTTTAATTTCTGGCTCTAGAGGCACTTCCAGGAATCTCTGCTCTGTGGAGCCTGGTTTCATGTATGTCACGATGATTTTTCCGCTGTCAGGACTTTGCTTAGACGGGTAGACAATACTGGTGAGGAATAGGCACATCTCCGGAAACTCTGACACTAGCATGTTTCTCTGCTTCAGGGCCTGTTTGACAAGCATGTAGCAGCGATCATACTGAAAGCCCCGGTATGTCGCCTCGGCTGACTCGAGGGCAGTACCCCTGAGCGATTTGATTGGGTACACATATATCTGGCTGATCTTCATGGTGGACTCGAGATGATGATATAATAACCAGGTTTACAGCTTGCACGTACATACGCAGATGGTAGCTAGATATTCAATTTGGTTGGACAGTGCAAGAAGCAGAGGGTAGTATCATTGATCATCAGAGAGATGCCTCTTCATGTCACCACTGTGTACAAGATCACAAAAGGGATTCTCGTTCTAGGAGTTGAGAAGCTCGCTGGGATGCCACTTGTCGTACGTAGTAGTCCAGCTTCTAACTTAGCGAGAACTTTATGGAGGGGTACATTGTATCAAGTAGAGCTGGCCCCTCTACGTTTACGCACCTTCCCTTAACAGCGCATGGTGACGCACCGCTATTTTCGTTAGTTAGTGCATTGGCCTGAAAGGCAAGCTGCAGTGAGTGAGCGCAGTGCGAAGTTTGAAGCACAAATACCTTGTAGCATGATGCATACCATTCTGCACTATTGGAGCCCAGTATCAATTGTTTACGGGATGATAAAGTTGAGAGGTCGACAGGCCACTGTTGTTGGACCACGAATATTGCCATGCACAGCCACCCCATCCTAGCGCATCATTGATCTTTGAAACACTGGGCTTCAATCATGTGCGTATATGATACGGTAGGCTCTCTTTCGCCACAATCTTAAAAGCTTGCAGGCGTCTCTTTGGCCTGTGTTTCGGTTGCTGTTCTCCGATCTTCAGTTCTCCAGTACTCTGTACTACAATGCAGGCATTTTAAGGTTGCGGCTTAGATCACGCAACAACGTTTTCCGAACTGGAGATTGACAAAACGAGCTTCGCGTCTTGGCGGTGACGTTTCAAGAACCTGCGGCGGGCTGCGACGGGTTTCCTTCACTCCATCGTGGCTAACTGATAGTCGTACTACTCCACCGATTGTCGACTCACTTGTTACTGCTGCCACCATAAGTACGCTGCGCAATCTACGGCCGAAACGTAGAGTTCGATTATCAGAGGTAGCGCGAGTTCTCCTACCAAAGCGTTCGTCCACGCAATCGCCCATTTCTGCTGAGAAGCGTCAGTCTCACGATCGGGCGAGCTGGTCTCTGCTGCGCAATCAATTCGATCATGGAGGGATATACGACAACCCTTCGGCGAAAGGACACGACTAAGGGTCCGCCGTTGCGCATTCTATCATTGGGTCAGTTTCTTACTCCTAAGCCCCTCGAAACAGCGTGCTGACACATTAGAGATGGTGGTGGTGTACGAGGATTCTCCATGCTCGTTCTTCTAGAAGCGCTAATGCACCGGTCATTCGTCGAAATCCACGGCAGACCGCCTCGTCCTGATGAGAAACTCAAACCCTGCGATTGTTTTGACTTGATATCGGGAGTGGGTACTGGCGGACTTATCGCTTTAATGTTAGGGAGATTACGGCTAGATCTAGAAACGTGCAAGAACGTTTACGTGAGGATGACTCGGAAGGTTTTCGAAACGGACAAGACCATCGCAGGCATACCATATAAACATACCCTTTTTAAAGCTTCCAAGCTGGAAGAGGCAATCCGGGAATGCGTTCGTGAACACACCGTGTTAGAGGAAGAAGGGAATGACGGAACGAAAGCCGGCGGGCATGAGTTTCAGAGTCTGATGAGTCCCACCAGCGCCGTGGAGTTTCCCGAGCGCGCGGCCAGTGTCCGCAGCAATGCAAGCTTCACACCAAATAGCCCGGTACAGAGCCTGAGAAATTCTATCCATGGGTTTCGCTGGGGAAATCCAGACGCTTCCCTGTATGACGGAAGAGAAAATCGTACCAAGACGTAAGTGTTAAGAGCCGCACGTTGTCGCCAGATTCTGACCGTTGGTTAGCGCGGTTACTGCAGTGTTCAAAGGCACACCCAAGAACGGTCACTCCATCCTCCTTCGATCCTACGATTCACGCAAAGAGCCACCACCCGAGTTCAACTGTACCATCTGGCAGGCTGGCCGAGCGACCTGTGCAACAGGGCTAGCGTTCAAGCCGATCGCCATCGGAAATTCTGTTTTTGTGGACGAAGGTGCTGGGAAATACAATCCGTCGCCGCAGATTCTTGACGAAGCTGCTGTGAATGAGTGGCCAGGCAGGGACATTGGCGTATTTGTCAGCATTGGCACAGGTAAAAGGCCTGGAGGAACTAACAACAGGCAAAGTGAGTGGTACGAGTCCTTCCTGGGTGGCACAATGGGCAATTTCGCCGAGGCCCGCAGAAGACTTATAAGCAAGATCGAAAATTGCGAGGAGATACACCAACAGATGCTAAACTCTCATCTGCAAAAGCGTGGAGTACCCTTGGAAAACTACTGCAGACTTAACGTTGAGGTCGGCGTTGGGGACTTTGGCATGAACGAGAACGTTTTGAGCCCCGGTTACTATTGTACAGATTGGCTAACAACGTAATTAGGTGGGATAGATTATCTGACATCAATATTGGCACTCACCAATACCTCGCAAAAAGTTCGGTTCAAAAACTCATAGGAGAGGCTGCTGCAAAGATTGGGAAAATCGAGCTGACGAAACGGAGGCTGGAGGGCCAAAGCAGATACACCAATCCTAATCGAGGTGATCTACCCAGCAAAGGTCTTCCCACGCCGCCATCGCATCCAGACGCCATCGAGCTACCTGGAAATGACGCACCCATCCATTCGCCAACATCGCCTTATCACACCCCGCGGACCTCAACGATTAATCCGCCCTATCCCTACGATGATACTATATCTTCAGATGATAAGTTCTCTCTAATTCCTTCCGTTGATGGCCAGCATCGGATTTCTGGAGAGATGCCGTATCGGCACAGCGGCGAATACAACAGTCCTTACAACATATCACCCAGGCGAAGTGGAGAAGATTATGCCAGATCGGATGCGCCACCTATTCCCCCGAAAACACCTATTTACGGCGACGGGGAGGGCTTGAGGCCACCACAGACCTCGCGAATGAGCGCAGGCAGCCAAAAGCTGCCGTATCCCGACTTCGACGGACCACCTATTGTCAACAAGCTGCGCAAGCCACAATACAATCCCGGATAATGAGGCCATCTCTGGGACTTTGGTGGAAACATTATGGAAAATATGACAAGATCATGCTATTTGTGATGCTGCGAACTGGGATGGAAGCCACACATTCCGGAACCGCTTCAGTCTCGACGGAGACCAGCACCGAGGACAGCTCGTGCAGGGCATAGTACCAGGCTTGTAAGATCGGATAGCAATATCTCTATCACAAAGAAACTTCTGTACTAAGATGGAATTGACCTTAGTGCTGCCACTTCATCATGAATTGACTATAAGGGAGAAAAAGAAGCGAAGGGCGTTGTTCAAAGGATAGCTCGTGGATGGTGGTGTCGATAAGAATGACTGCAGCTGACTTTGTCGATATCCCAACCTCATGGGAAGCTGGAAAAATGAAGTAACAAGCAAGAGACTACAGTTTGGGAATGGACTCGCAATTGTGACTGGGAGGGTACTGGACACGCCGGATGGGATTCTGCTGAAGCCAGGTCTAGACCTACTTGCAGTCAGTTATTCATGACAAGTGCTCCGCTGGTGCAAAGGTTGATCCGCCTCTCTTTTACTACGATGCTCCTCATGCTGATCGAATCATTCCTGTGGCGGAGCCCCTCGCTCCTGATCAAAGCATACGATTTGCCGTCTCATGTGGCTCTTCATGATATCACGGATCACTTGTATGAGTACAGGGCGGTCGTTGTGGGATAAGGATATGCTACTATCATGCCTTATCCTCACAACGAAGTTTTCAGAGTATTTCCTTCTTACAAGCTCTCTCCGAATTCCGACTAGCCACACATCCGCATCATGGGCCATCTGGGCATTGTTATGAATGTACGAAGACTACCCTGAAGATTGTATGTGCTGCCGCCGGCCCCTCGCAAAATCATTAAGCAGACTACCTGGTTCAATAATCTACCAATTTTTCAGCGTCAAAGATCCGTGCTTTTGGTGCTTGTATCAAGCTCTGGAGAGTGCCCCCATATGCGGAAAGCTGCCCCAATCTCCCTTCCTCTCTTCTCGTTACATATACTCTATAGCCACCAGAAAACACTTCACGGGGAAATGGTTGAATGGCTATACGGGAGCGGTTCGACGACTCTTCTTACCTTCACGGGCTACGGCAAGATGGAGAAATGATTCTGCACATTTCTCCCAACAGCGAGAGTAACCTGTTGTTCTTGGTTCCCATTAGATAATGGGGACCAAGGTTCGAATCTTGCTGGTGATATCTCGGCCATGTTTCCGCACTTTTTGCTTTTACCTTGGACACTAGCGTGGGGTGTATTGAGAGAGCGCATTGGTGGATCATCTAGTGCCATTTCGTGGTCTACCTTTGGTTGGATAATATTACAGAACGCAGTATCCTTTAGGGCCCAGATGGTTGAGCGGTTGAGCGGTTGTCAATGACCACTAACTGCCTTTATCGGTAGTTTGACAGGCGATGGGTTCGAACACACCAGCGGTGGAAGGAACCTGCTGATAGGCACGGTATCAGAGCGTCAGTAGACGCGCTGCGACCGGGTCTCTGTTGCAATCGTCTCAGCTATGCCCACAATTTTGTTGGCGCTTTTTCTACCTGGCTGGCTCCGGGTTTTACGATGCTAGACGGCAGCGCTATACTACTAGGCAATTTGCTTGCCGAGAGGAAAGACGAAAGACTGGCTAGAGCACTGGAAGTAATGTGCCCTCGCCTGAAGTTATCTTGAGCACTGGGTACAGATCGGCTAAAACTTTTACAGGATGAAGAGAAGGGTGGTAGAACTACGAAGGCTTCAGGGAAGAATGAGAGTTCATAACGGACAATACAGGCGTTTCAGAAAACAAGCCTTTCATCGCAAGCAAGCACGTTTACGTAGCAAGAGTAGCAAGAGTCACTCATCGAGGGAGAAGGTGAAGGAAGGAAGGAAGGAAGGAAGGAAGGAAGGAAGGAAGGAAAAGTCTTAGTACTGCGGGTAAGGAACGAGGCCTTGATGTTTACTACGACTACAGGAGACAAGGTCATATGGCGGCTACCAAGCAGGCGCAGAGAAATTTTTGCGGACCAGAACGTGCCTTCTATGTTTGAAAGTGTGCAAAATTTCCACTTTTTGTTATAACTTCGACTCCATCCTCAGTTCCGAATGATCTGTTACTTCATTCCCACCAGTCGCTTCATTCTTGTAACCACCCTCCCCCGGGAGTCTACATGCTTCTCACTCTGATTCTTCAAGTTTCTCCACAGATCGTTGAGCATAAGACATGTCTTCTTCCATCAAGCACGGTCAAAGCATTGTCAATGAAGCATCGGGTGTCAGTAAGCAACAGTGCAGATGACGACGGGCATCCACCAGATGATCAAAATAGGCAAGTGGTCTCTTCTACCTCGTACACGTGTGTGATCGTCATCGATAGTACGAAGGACGATTTTGAACATATCATGCTCTCGAACCTTGGCTTCATTCAGGTATAGGACGATCTTCAGCTCACCACTCTTTGAGCACCTTATTGCCACTTCCCGCAGTCTCGCTATTGCTTTACTCACCCCCTCTTCCTCTAGTCGAAGCGAAGTTGAAGTCTCCTGCAAACCTCGAGCAAGTCCAGGGGGGCACCTGGCACCTGGGCGTGGCGAAGACAGAGAGCCCCCCATGATGATATCGAGCTACCGGAAAATGTTACTATGGAAGAAGAGTATTTGGTTGTGATGGAGACGGTTTGCCCAGCTGGGTACGTTAGGTGTCAAAGCTTAGGCGGATCCCACAATCTGCTCTGCGCCTTTCAAGTTCTCAAATGATACAAGTTGACATTGTACATGGTATTTTTTACTCCAAGAAAGAAAGGTCTTGTATATCTAAAACGCACATCAGAAGAATCGGATGGAGTTCAGCATTACTTTAGTATAGAGCACATCTAGTGAGCTCATTTATCTGTTAGTCATTATGGGCTATTCCTGACGGAGCGGCACCAGCAATTCTCCATACAACGCCAGGGACCTGCAAGAGTTTCGCAGTGCACAGTAAACAGCGAAAACTCGCAAGGTATCCCAACTCAACAAGCTGCATTCCCGAGACCTAATGGACCGAGCCGCGTTTCAGCTCCTTCCCGAAGCTGAAACCGTTTTAGATCCCCAATCTCGAAACATCAGCACTTCTCTAAAAAGACTGGTTGTTCTGTAGGTTACTGAGAGTAAGTCGTTAGAGTAAGTCGTTATAATAGAAATTATATCATAGCATTCAACGATTCGAGGATCGGTCTTGCCAAACATTTACATCATCATCTCTCTCAAGATCATACCAGTCTAGAGATACTAACTAGTATATAAACAGCGATTTGTCGCGTCTTGCCAGGCCACTCACTATCCAACTTTAATTTCCCGTTGCGAATGTCAAAGCCGCAGTCAAGTCTCCCCAGGGCCGCGTTGGTCGGCATGTACAGGCAAGCGAAAGAGCAAGCCCGTCCAGAGCGGCCAGATCCGCGGAAGGACATAGATGCGGACAGGAAAACAGGGGCGGACGGCGCAAAGCTGCCGCCTCAGCTCATGCCGCAAAATATGAAGGAGACGAAGCAGGCGAGGAGAAAGGAAGAGGGAGAGGGGACACAGGCGTTGAGGAAGAAGGGGGGTCAGACGGTAGAAGACTTGGGGGGAAAGCAGGTGAAGCGTTCGATGAAGGGGCCTGAGAAGTCGGAGAACGATTGTCGGGCGAAAGAGGAGATGGACCGGGCAAAGGAATCCAGGAAGACGGAGAATATGGTGAGAGGTTGGGACAAGGAGTCAAAGAGGACGGATAAGAGTGGGGATAGGAAGGCAAAGAACACTAACAAACAGCATGCCAAGATGATGAAGAGAATCGATGAACAACTCGCCAAGTCGATGCGGATGATTGAAATGGAGTACAAGAGGTCGATGGAACAGATTGAAAGATTGCCTGGACTGGGGCTGCCGAAGAAAGGGAACCCGGTCTGAAGGTACGGCTGGGTGGAGCGATCAAAGGGCATGGGCACCGGGATGGCTACACACGTGTGTGAACATTGGGAAAGTAGACTCTGTAAACTAATGGTCCTCGATGCCTTTTCTTACATATGTACTGCTTTTTCGATGCTGACGTTGGCATTTCCGGTTGCTGGTACTCCCGCTCCTGCATTCGATGTTCATATCAGTGATTGATTCGGTGACTTGCGAGGGATCTTGTTCTTCCGCCTTACATCGTACCACTTTCTTCGTTGTCGAACTGGCTCTGCTTCTTGTTAATCTGGTGCGACATATCGCAGATTGCTTCACGACCAATTGGGTGAAAAACATCGACGATGCCATGGCAAGCAGTACATATCCGGCACCGGAGTATAATGATTTGAGTCTGTACGCGATGTCTCTAACACTTTCCATCATCGATTGGTCGGAATTGTTTTAGCAGTGCTGGACTGGGCGCTGACAAGAGTGGCTGGCTCGGTTTCGCGATCTTTAGTTTTGGTTGGTTGAGTAGATCGTTTCCGGCTTCACGTTTCGGTCCGGAATTGTTTAGTGTCGACTTATCTTCTAGCTCACCATTTTGCAATGGTTTGGGAACAAGTTACTTCATTGATCGAGTATGGAGTAGGAAGAAGTTGCGTGGCAGCAACGGAAGAGCTAAACTACCAAACGCCAAGACGTAAGACCACGTGACATTGTAGCAGGGAAGATACCTTGTTCAGCAGAGGAGCTATTGGTGTTCTGTCACCGTATGCTTCAACAGAGGGCAAAAAGATACGCCAGCTAACGTTCTGGGCCTGGTAACTTTACCACAAAGACTGGACCTTTTAAGTGTGGCAATGCGCATTTGGGCACAGCTGCAAATTTTCTGGCGTCGAAGAGAGTAGCAATGTCCGATCTCAAAAGATAGCCGTTGCATCTCGCCATTTGGTTCTGATCTGCTTGTCGCAGATATGGCAGTCCTAGTGGGGTTGACGTATGCCATTTCGTCCAAGGCTTCCTTGCTTTTCCACATCGACAGCAATCAAAACCGTATTGCCAGTCTGAAGAGGTTTGCTCAAGTCAAGGTCGCACGTATTAGCATGTTTTCCAAGACCATGCTGACCGCCAACATCGAACCATTGGGGAAGTGGCGTCAATAAAAGGTTCACATAATTGACAGATTTCAATTTCCAGCATCTTTGCAGCCAGCGTGATTTGCCACGTTGTGTGCTCCATGGAAATACTCGACAATCTTGTCTTTACCTATGACTACTCCCGACTTGTTCTTGACTTTGTTGATCTTCTCCATGATTGCATTGCATAGATTGTAAGAAGCTGCAACCTTTGTGAGTGATTTTTCATTGAGAGGAACTAGATTGCGGTTGCCTTCAACCACTTCGTGCGTATCCAAGGTAGCGTAGTCACGTAAGCCATGACGATGTTCATGCATGTTGAAACCGACTTGCTGTCGAACAGGAACAAAATCGTTATAAGGAAGTGTCTGGATACATGATATCAAAATCGTACGTTGACCTATGTTCGGCTTGCTGATGTGCTGGATGGCGGCCTTCGTAAGCCTGAACACAACGATAACATGTAGTGGTCGATAGAGCTATAGAGAATATGAAATATATACGGCAAGATAGCTGTCCATGAATGAAGGATGATATGAAAGATAAAAGAATGTATATGGAGCAGCATGTTATACCACGACTCAACCACGCATTCCCAGAGCGGTTGCGTATTCAAAGGACAAAATGTATGATTCAATAGGTCCAATGCTGCATACTCATGACTGGTTGCCTGCAAGAGAGCGTTCAATACGCCACTCAGAACTTCAGGCGGTAGTGGACTGTATCTCGCCTCCGAAGGTTAGGAGATGATAAAGTAGACTGGATAGTAAGGCATCCTGGTAATTCGGTCCTACCATTGCTGCGTTTCGTCAAGCCCCAGACATGATAAGCCATGAGCTGCGCCCTGTCGAGGTGAGCGGAATCCCGGGTTCTGGCTGTCGGACTAGTTCCAGCAACGCGGTCACGCATAAGTGGTGGTTGGTGGGAAGCGTACGGTGAGACACGACGCGCTGCAGGTAATGTTTGAGAAGTATGGCGAAACTGTGCTGACCGTTCGGCTTCCCACGTCCCCATCGCTTACTTGATGCATACATGCCTGATTGTGCTGTTGAAGCCATGACCAGTACTCACAGTGTGTAAGACATGATGTGCGAATTCTGGATGATGGAAGGCTGTGCCAGCCCAGAACCGTAGATCTTTGGGAGCTTAGCTCGAACGGAGTTGGCGAGATCGCGTATGTGCTGCAAGGTTCAAGGCCTGAAGAGAGTGAGGGCAGGATAAGCGTGTTAGAGGCGTCGTCACTTTTCGGTTCTCATTTGGTCATTGATCAGAGCGGTGGCGTGAAAGTCAAACAGGAAATGACGATCTGACGACCATAATAGAAAGAGTAGACTTACTACGTACTCCGTAGGCCTGCATCTTAAGCCACTGCATTGGGGCATTGGGTCATTACTAAGGTTTCGAGCCTGGTTTTGGTTTTGTTGCCCAGACAGCTCCTCCACTTTCCGCGCCTGCAAGGTCAAGGCTGGGGCCCCGTCTCCTCTTCTCTTACTTATCCCAAACTTGGCTACATATCCAAGATTATTCTGTGCCTCGCAAGCCTTGTGTGTCCACTGCGCAGAACTCTATGCCGGATACGTGCAGACACTCTCGTCCAACCCAAGGATACTCTAGATCAACTCTCTCGCCAGAAAGACCTACTCGGCTGGCTCCCATCAGAGCTCTCTCGAACGATCTCCACCCAACCGCCCCCCCCACCCGTCGCTAAACACCGTACTGTAACGCAACAACCGATTCTCTAATTGAGAACACCTGAGCGAACTGCACTTCTAATACCATATTCTTCCTGGTCTCAACATACACTACATACCAGATGGGAACGTCGCGACCCAGTTGACTGTGATTCATCGTCTCACTTCTTGGTCTTTGTCCCATGCGATACGTCTCATGATTCCCTAAAGATCGCAGTCAATGTCCGTACGAGATCAAATACGATATAACGAAATCTTCACGCTGTTGCCAAGTTTCGAATCTAGAATACCGAAGAGATCAACACCTTTTCACTTGGCCCACTTACACATTGAAATCAGAGTTTGGCGGAGGGCAGCTGCCCTGTGAGTTCGCTATGGAGGTAACCACCCATGTCCTCACCAATGCCCACCAGCTTGTCGCTCGGGCTGGCAGTGCTCCGGCCCAGCCAGATCGGCCTCCAGTCTACAAAGTAATTGGTATAGTGCTCGCGATCGCCTCTGGCGTCTTCATTGGCATTTCCTTTGTCCTCAAAAAGATGGGCCTGCTGAAGGCGAATACGAAATATAATGAAGAGGCGGGAGAGGGCTACGGCTACTTGAAGAATGTCTGGTGGTGGACTGGCATGACATTGATGATTGTTGGAGAGGTCTGCAATTTCGTCGCATATGCTTTCGTCGATGCCATTCTCGTCACCCCACTCGGCGCCCTCTCCGTGGTGATAACGACTATACTGTCCGCTATCTTCCTGAAAGAACGCTTGAGTTTTGTAGGAAAAATTGGATGCTTCAACTGCATTATCGGGTCTGTCGTGATTGTGATGAATGCGCCGGCTCAATCGGCCGTTGCCGACATTCAGGGCATGAAGGACTTCGTGGTTACGCCCGGCTTTTTGACATATACAGGTGTGATAGTGGTTGGTTGTGCCTTCATTGTTTTTTGGGTAGGTCCAAGGTATGGCAAAAAGAGCATGCTTGTCTACATCAGCGTGTGCAGTCTGATCGGAGGCTTGAGCGTCGTCTGTACTCAAGGACTCGGAGCTGCAGTCATTGCTCAAGCACGTGGGGTGCCGCAGTTCAACCAGTGGTTTCTGTATGTGATTTTGGTTTTCGTTATAGCGACGCTGCTTGTAGAGATCATCTACCTCAACGTGAGTATCTGTATCTGGCGGGTAAAGGGTGAGCTAAATTTCGAACAGAAAGCACTCAACCTCTTCAACGCCGCCCTCGTCACCCCTACCTACTATGTCTTCTTCACTAGCGCAACGATTGTGACTTCTGCGATCTTGTTCCAAGGTTTCAAGGGTACCCCGACAGGCATTGCAACCGTCATCATGGGTTTCTTACAGATCTGCGCTGGAGTGTGCTACTGCAAATGTCCAAATCTGCCAAGGATGTGCCTGATGCCGCGGTCTTCAAGGGCGATCTTGATCAAGTCCGTGAAATTGGCGAGCAAGAGCAACCAGAGACCGAACCCAAGGCGGATGCGATCCGAGGCACAGCAGCAATCCTTCGACGGATTTCAGTCTCTCGGCAGAAGAAGGAGGAAGAAGAAGCAAGAAGATACCGCGAGGAGAAGTTGAAGGATCAATTAGAACCACTCCAAGAGAACGAAATTGTTGAATGGGATGGTCTTCGGCGGAGGAAGACCGTTTTAGGAGACGGTCTTCCAAGTCCGATCGTACGACGAAAAACAATACATCCCCCACTGGGCATGTCTCGCTTTCCGGATGAGGACGAGCTACAACAAGACCAAGCACATGAACATCACCATCAGCACAGCTTTTTCGAAACTGTTCGTTCGCGTGCATCGAGCGTGTTGCGCACACATCACCCACGACAAACCGCTTCTGATCCAGTGGATGCCAATGGAGAAACCCGTACACATCCTGTCGCCCTCGCCGATATCAAGACCTATCCTGGAAAGCCCGATACACCGATCGAGCCCTATGGTCCAGGAAGTATAGAGCAGGCTCGAGAACATATCTATGGCTTACCGCCAGGGCTCAAACCTGAACCTTATCAAAGCGGTCGTTTAAACTCCCCACGATCGAAGCCATTGCCTGCGCAGCCAGCCGTGCAGTCTCCCGCTGGCGCTCCGAACATTCCCCTTCCATCGCCACTTGGCAAAATCAGCCGACGTCAGTTCTCCTTTCAGAACATGTTTCGAGGTCCTAAATCGCCAGCTCCCGGAGATCAATCAGCCTCGAACCTTGATCCCCCTCCGTCACGATTAGGCATGGGCTCGAGATCTGGCAGCGCGGAACAGAAACGTGCAATGAAGACAGCATCCGAGGAAGAACGGCTGGGTCTTGTCAAGGGTGATTCCCACGCTGCTTTGCTTGATCCCGATCCTTATCCCTCGCCTCCTCGTCCACTTTCAATTGAGCATTATCCCTACGCTGCTACTTCATCAGATTCTGTTGCTTCATCTCCTGAAGCACAGACACCGCTGGTTCCCAGGCAATCATATTCACCCTCCCGCTCTACTGCCATGTCTGATAATGCCCCACTGTACAAAGACCTTCACAATCCTGGCTACTTCACTTCAGGCCATGCCTTTGGCGATTCTGCACCTTCATCCCCACTAGAAGAAGAGGCAGGGGTTGACGACGAATGGCAGGTCCCACAAACCCACCGACACCTCACATCCCTCTTCCAACGATCACAGCGACCCCTCCTCCACCGCCGACGCCTCCACCCCACGAGCACACACAACTACCACCCTACCACAGCCACAACCCTTATCAGCCCCGGCAACAACCCCCCCCCGAGTCCGCACAGCCGAAAGCAGCTCCAGTGGCCTCCGCCCCTTTCCAGAATACACCGATGTCGCCACACCAGAACACGACCGGAGGTACTACCGCGAGAGATCGCAATACAACCATCAAATTCGAGTCAACAACCCGCGATCCACGATCCCAAACCAGGACTCGAGATCCGCCTTCCCAGGGGACTACGGAGCGCAGTAGAGCGTTTCAGGAAGTGGAAGCCGCTCAGGAACTGCAACGAGCGATGAAGGGAATCGAGGTGCCGAGTCCCGAAGACCAGGAGTTTAAGGAGAGGTGGAGAAGGATTCAGAAACAGCAGCAGCGGAGGAGGGATGAAGGGAGCGGAGGGGCGGGGAGAAAAGATGGGGGTGGCGGTGCTGGTGGAGGAGTGGGTGGTTCTGAAGGGAGACCTGCGGCGTTTATTTGATGGACCGACGGGGAGGGAGTTCAGATAACGAACCCTGTGCACATATCATGCTTCTCCTCACTTCTCTGGATTGTATAGATGTTTTGTTTTGGTGGGGTTCTTCCTTCCCTCTTGTCACATCGACCTTGTTCGGGGAAAGGGGTGGTAATCAAACAACGTTGGTCGAGACTATGGGCTTTCTGTGTACAGACAAGCGAGATGGGATAGAAAGGAAACGAATGAAACGGATGCATAGCGATTAGACAGGAAACTCGGATTACGGGCTTTAGAGGAAATGTCTGTTAATCTAGTTATTCTGGAGTTGGTGTATCGAACGAGTGCCTGAAGGGGTAGGAGATTGTAGTGCTTAGATGCACATCTCCCAGTTCTGTTGTGTTAGATGACGGGATGTGTTCCATGTTGATATGGCTGAGGGAGTAGCTGAGAAGGTGGCTGGCGGGTACTTCGGACACAGATATATTGATGAGACAAATCGAGCGCGAGCGGTTTCGGTTTCGTGCAAAGTACATTTTGGCGTGATATACTTGTCATGACTTAAGCTTTGATAGCCGTGTGTCTCTTTCCCCCGCGACGACATATTCAGGGATGATCATCATACCCAGTGCTTGGGAAGGTCCTTCCTGTTTCGGCTTCTCCGCAGGAGCCAATTGGTTTTTCATGTACTCCGTATGGGAAATGAGATATGGCTTGGGTTTGCGGCTCATAGTCGTGTATTGTACTTGTGCATGCATCTTGCGTGGTGACTGACTAGACACCTCTTGGGTGAATCTCTTGGTAGAAATCTTGCACTTCGTTTTGGCTTAGCCCGAGCGCAGGGGCTGTAGGCGTAGGGAGGAGGAGGAGGAGGGTTGGCCTCCATGTCTGAGGACAATGCTTGGATATCAAGTGGTCTTGGGCTGAAGATTGGTGGATGCGGTCTGTCATATGGAGGCGAGGATGTAATAGAGAAGGAGAGCGCGGAGAGATGGAGTAGCTTGGTAGAAGGGGAGAATCACTAACTGCCGTCCGATCTCACGAGGTGGATCCAAGAACGCTTGCTTGGATTTGAGCGGGGTTCTGGTGCTGTTGCTTGTTCCTTCCCTGTATTCCCGTCTTTTCATCTCTAGGCGCAAAGGGGTGGTTATGGAAGATCGCATCGAGTGATCGGCCTTGCGCATCAAGGCCATGGGGTTGTTCCGGGATTCGATACCACTCTGTTCAACATAGTAGGTTACTTGAAGTCCACCTACCAATGCTTTCCTTGGCTGGCCTGCCCAGATCGTGTGGGAGCTCTTCTGGTTATCAAAACGACTTTGCGTCCCAAGGTGGAGCTGTTGATTTGGAGCTCTCAAGAATTTCAGGTATGTTTTCGTTTCATATCATTAAGATCCGAAGTTGTCCTGGATATCGGCTTTTTGTTCATAATCTCGTTACCTCTTTCATCAACTCCCCTTCTTGTCCTCATCCACCTTTTCTGTCGTAAAGCCCATCTTATCCAACACACTTCCTTGCCCCTTCATTGCGATATGAACAGCCCGATACCCACTTTCTGGTAGCCTTTTTCCACATTGCACGCTGTCAACCACCCATTGGGCTGTCACATATTTCACGCCCTTGCCACCCACCTTGGCCACTTCCTTTTGAATTTTGCCAGCTGCTAGACCACCAACAATAGAGCCTAGAACGACATGAGTGACAGTTCGACGACCAAGAGCGATGGAGAGAGAGCCGCCGTGCTGGACGAAGAGAGATTTCAATTTGTGATCGGAGATACCAGAGGCATATGTAGAGCCATTGAGATAAAGGGTCAGCGACCGGAAGATTTGTGGTTCTGTAGGGGTCGCTTCCGGAGTCGATTTGGGTAGCGTATAAACCCTCGGGCCTGGGATCTGTGACGGCGGCTCTATGGATGCCTGTGAAGGGACAGGGAGGGATCTCGTACGGGTGATAGGGTCATCGGTTTTGTGCATAGGACTAGCCTTTTGTCTCTTGCAATATCCATTGAAGTCCTTGAACTGTTCCTCGGTTTTCCTCTTCTTGTTCCCTTCCATCAATCCTCGAATCTCTTGCCATCCTTTCTCCCTCAAGGCTAGTGCCCCTACTTCCCAAGATCCATTTTCCTTTCTTCCATCCTTGCCCAAATCTTCCTTTCCTGCTTCAACCAGATCAGAGAGATGCTCCACGCCTCCTCCACCGCTACTGTCAGAGAACTGATGTGCGAGCTTGCGGGCACGAGACTCCCGCCATGAGGTGGATCCAGACAGGCGGCTTTCTGCGCGTTGATGGCCAGTTGAGGAAGAGTTGAAAGGATCGAAACAAGTACGGGTTGGCTCTGGTGCACGTGTCGGTGACATCACGTCTGCTCTAGAACAACTCGGCGAAGAGGGAGGATTGAGAGTATAAGAATAGTAGAGAACACGGAATAAGGATGTATAATTTTGTCCTTGGGTTGTGGTGTGGAGAAGGAATCAATGTGAGAAACATCTTCCATGTCAAGATGCCTTACCCGGAGCCATTCATTGCAACTGCCACACACCATGACGATCTAAACACATCTCGGAACCGGTTGCAGCTTTCGAGTCCCGTACCACCAGCCTTTGCTTGTGTACCGCTCTAGCATGTTTCTATGTAAAATCACCGCCATAGTAAGAATCTGATGTTACCATGGTACTGTGCATTGCGAAAGTGTTGCGACTCCTTGGCGTTGTATCGAGAATTGCTGGCGCCGCGTCGATACAGTTGATAGGGGCTCAATAAATAGACTTATTAGATGTGTTCTATATCAAAATGTTGCCGAGCTTCGTCTGATTCTTTTGATACAGATAAATAGTAATATTGATTCGAATTGATAAAGTTGATTCTCTACATAATAAACTCTACTTTCTTTGATGGAATCTCGTATAATCAAAATTATATCAAAAGAATCAGACGAAACGCAGCATTAATTTAATATAGATTTCATTCAATCTCAATTTGTAGAAGGCTTATATGGACTATTTCTATTTGAGAGCGCATGACACCAGCAACTCTGCACTTACAACACTTTCGCAATGCACAGTAAGCTAAATGATTATTTCATTGGCAATGACTGCTGTTATTACAATTATTGGCACCCCAGCGCTAGTATTTCTGGACCAAAACAATCGTCGAACATGCAAGGCTGGATGTTGTTAATCCAAATGAAGTACTCCGTAGTATTTAGGATTAGCAGACTCATATGTGTGGATGCTTGTGAATTTGTATCATGAATACTTACTTAGTACGGAGTACCTGTGTCACTTACGTACTACTCTTAGTAGTAAGGTGTTGCTTGGCATACTAACCAAAATTTGGAGTCTGCCAAATATTACTATCCAAACTATCATAACATATTTACGACCGCCTCTATCTTTGGACTTGTATACGGCCCGATGGCTTCTATCAAGAGGAAGAAGAAGAAGCCCGTCAGTAATCCCGCTAGGGGATTCGCTACGGTGAGCACACCTTCTAAAAGGGTTGATGAAATCCCTGCAAAATTTGAAGACAATCCTTCACTATCTTCTGTTGATGGTAAGCATGCGTATGCGGAGACAGAGAGCAAAAGTCAGGTGGCCTTGCACAATGGAGATTCAGACCTACAGCACATGACGCCAGAAGAGCTAGAGCAGCATCTGGAAGAAGCTGAGCTCCAGAACCTCCTCGATGTTCACAGGCAGCGCTCCAGAAAAGACGTTAGCCGACAAATAGCAAGGCTCGAAACAGAAAGACGCAGTTTACGTCAGACTGGAATGCTCCTTGAAACCGAGAGCTGGCTGCACCACGTTGTAGAAGAAGTTCTTGAGTTGGCGAGGGCATCGTCACGAGATGTGAAACCTATCCAGAAGCTAGAAGGACCCTACAACGATACCGACCTATGCCTCAAGTTATGGGCTGCACAAGAGACATTGCAATCACTACATTTCCATAACCTGGAGGGCGTCTTACAGCATTTGGTAGAGATCGCACCTATGATTGCCAAACCTAGCTCGAACTCTCTTGTATGGGGCTTGGACGAAGCACTGGATTGGCTAGCATTGCATTCCGACACCGAAGACCTTCCCAGCTATCAGCAGCGGAGTCCTAGGTATATTCCTACTGCTTCTCAAACCCGAAGTCCTGCTTCTGCCAATATAACCTGTGAAAATATTCAAAGTTCTGACCTTCCAGGCACCCGTTCATGCAGCTACTCACCTTCCCTAAATGACGCTGATCTTGGTACCCCCTCGTCAACGCCTACAATTCATACGAAGGCTGAAGTCTCCGATGACAGTCAGATGACAGAGGTTTCTGACGACAGCGATGACGACGATCCTGATCAACTGATTGACCAGTATATTTCTGCAAAGCACGAGCTTCTGCAAAGGTCACAGAGCGGTAAGGGGCTCGGGCAGGAGCAACCAGCCATTGACAAGCGGGCTAAGAAGCTAAACCGAAGAATACAAAGGATCGAACGTGACGTCCTTTTCGATCGCGACGAGGCAATGGCGCGATGGAACGAGGTGAAGGGTGATCTCGAAGCGGAAGCTGCAAGATCAAATTCCTTGGCCATTCGTCAAAAACGGTTGAATAAAAGATCTAGCCTCGGGGACGATGTTGGTACCAGCAGTGGGGTCGGGGGAGGCGTATCTGCCGCAGACAACGATGCCGATGACGAAGAGCTATTCGGCAGTATGTTTTCCACAGAAGAAAACAACAGTCCCGACAGTGAAACGGTGGCCGCGGTGCCAATCACCATCAGAGACTTCGGCCCATTGGGAGCTGGTGCAAAACCTAGGAAAGTTCTCGAAGACGTTTGTAAAGCAAGGTAAGTTGGCCATTCCATTCGACACCTGGACAGCACTTAACGTGATGTTGTCTACGACCTCAGTCCGTTGGGGCCTTACTGCCAAGACCCGCTCTTCTTTCAATTGACTCCCAGTATCCACGACACAATAATTGCCGGTAAGCTAATCTGTTAACAGAGATGCCAGCTCCACAATCGCGGTACGCCAGATCTCCGGTTCCTCGCATTCATATCGGCACAGTGTTCGGGTTTCATGGTCGAAGGACCAAGACGTGGCTGTCTCGCCCTTCTCCCTCCCAGCCCAGCTCTCGTACGACTTGCAGCCACGATCTGTTTCTGCCTCCATGGCCAATGTTGCAGCCACATCTCTGCAACAGTCCGAAGGCTTCCTCTGTACGGTAATGCTGTTCGCAATTTCGCAGTCGACAAAAGATGATAAAGTGTATCTTCGCTTACCAAGCGTCTGGCGAGATTTTTGGAAAGAGCTATTGGAAGGAAGGCAGCAGGAGGCGGACAGAGCAGATAGGCACGCACTGAAACGTATTCAGGCACTGATAAACAACGAGAAATCGCGGCATAAAGCTGATGCCAATGAGCCAGTCCAAGAGGAGACGCGCACCCAAGGCCCTTCAGGCATTTCTAGGCCTCTCGAGAGCAAAAGAGTTGAATACAGCCCAGACTTTTTGAAGGCTGTTTGGGAAGAAAAGGTCAGCACGGTGAGGTACCAGAAGATGCTCCAAATTCGTCAGCAATTGCCAGTCTGGCAGCATTGCCAGCAAATCATAGACACAATAAGTGTCAATCAAGTCACAATCCTATGTGCGGAAACAGGAGCCGGAAAGTCTACACAGGTCCCTTCTTTTATTCTTGAAAGCCGTCTGAAAGCTGGCAACGATTGTAAAGTACTTGTTACCCAGCCAAGAAGAATTTCTGCAATCTCACTTGCTCGACGAGTGTCGGAAGAACTGGGTGAACATAAATCTGAAATAGGGACCCGACAATCTCTCGTGGGCTTCGCGATAAGATTGGAGAGCAAAGTGTCCTCCACCACGCGTATCACTTATGTCACCACTGGTGTTCTTCTACGGATGCTTGAAAGCTCGAAGAATCTAGAAGATGTTGACTTCCTCCTTCTGGACGAAGTCCATGAGCGTACAATGGACTTAGACCTCCTTTTCATTGCTCTTCGCCGCTTATGCCAGCGCCGTCAGAATTTGAAAATCGTGCTCATGTCTGCTACTATTGATGCTACCCGGTTCTCAGAATATTTTGGCAACGCCCCTGTACTAAACATTCCTGGAAGGACGTTTCCTGTTGACATCAAATATCTAGAGGACGCAGTGGAGCTTACTCGCAATCAGGAGGACAACGCGTCGAACCATCATGTTGTGGAAACTTACGAGGAGGATGCGATTGAGCGAAACGAATCGGAACGTATCAGAAGTCTTACAGTTGGCTTGGAAAGATATAGTGCACAAACGAGAAAAGTATTGGCAGAGTACGATGAGTATAAGATTGACTATACCCTCATAGCCAATCTCGTCATTGCCATCTCGAGCGATGTGGAGATCAGCAGAAACAGTATCTTGATCTTTATGCCCGGCCTTGCTGAAATTAGGAGGCTTCATCGGACAATCACCTCGTTATCAGCCTTCAGGAGTGGGTGGGTCATCCATCTGCTTCATTCGTCCTTTTCAAATGATGATCTCGAAATGGCGTTTGAGCGGCCTCCAGTCAAGCATAGAAAGATTGTCATTGCAACAAACATCGCCGAGACTGGTATCACAATACCTGACGTCACGGCTGTGATTGATTCGTGCAGAGAGAAAGTCATGCGCTTTGACGAACGTCGGCAGCTCTCGAAGCTTACAGAAGCATTCATCTCCCGCTCCTCAGCCCGTCAGAGGCGCGGACGCGCAGCTCGAGTACAAGAAGGACTCTGCTTCCACTTGGTCACGCGTTACCGCCACGACAATCTCCTTTCCGAGCATCACGTACCCGAAATGTTAAGGTTGAGTTTACAGGACCCAATTCTCCGTATCAAGGTCTGGAATCTGGGCGACATCGAGCAGACATTGAACGAAGCATTCGACCCACCAACGAGTAGAAATATTACGAGGGCAATCCAACTTTTGAAGGATATTAAGGCGCTCACGGACACAGAGTCGTTGACTTCAATAGGCAGACAACTTGCCAAGCTCCCACTTGATATCTGGTTGGGCAAGCTCGTTTTGGAAGGACTGGTTTTTGCATGCCTCGACGCCATGGTATTCATAGCTGCTATGCTTTCTTCAAAATCGCCCTTCGTGGACAGTGATCGCTCCAATACTCAGGCAACAGCCGCCAGGCTAGCCTTCAGTAAGGGCAACTCGGATCTATTGTTGGTGTATAATGCCTACAGTGCCTGGCGACGAGCATGCTTGACCGGGAACGCCCACGAATTTTGCAGGAAAAACTTCCTGAACCATTATACCTTGTCGCAAATCGAAGATCAAAGGGTCCAACTGCTGGTTACTTTGAGCGATACTGGTATCCTTCTACTGGATGAAACTGAGAAAGAGGCCTTGCGCAGAGCTCGTCTAGGTGGCGGAAGACGTGAGTTCTTTGCCATACCACACAGGTACACCTCAAACAGCAGCAATGAGTTTGCTGTCAACTCAGTGGTCGCCATAGCCTTGTACCCGAAACTTCTTCTGCGTGAACGTCAGGGCTGGAGAAATGTTGCGAACAATCAACAGGTGAACATTTCCCCAACATCGATCAATTTCGGGCTTTCATCCGCTTCCGCAACCTGGCTGTCCTTCTATCAGACGATGCAAACCAAAAGCAAGAACCCCACGGTCTTTGAGACGAGTTTCGTCCCTGAGGCTGCAATAGTCATCCTGCTAGGTGAGGCTGAATTCAAAATGTATGCAGGGGTGATTACGCTTGACAGTGGCAAAATCCGCTTCAGTGTGCAGGACTGGAGGATAATGATTGCTCTCAAGGTACTTCGGACCAAGATTCACGAGTCGTTGTCACGCTCGTATCGAAGTACTGGCTTGTCATTATCTACACTAGATGCACAATGGCTCAACGTCTGGCAGCAAATCGTAACATTCAAGAATGCCCCAGAACGTTCTATGCAGTAATGCGCTTCAGCACCGCGAACAGATCGGAGTGAAATTCTGAACCAACTCAAGGCATAAAAAATTCCATCGTCATACATTATAGCTCCTTGAGGTAGCATTTCGTTCTACCATTTCGCCCCGTCCTTCCCCGCGCCGGGATTCATGCATGTCTGTTTTGCATGAGCACTTGATCCATCACCGCTTGTCCACGTCCGACTGCGGGCAGTGATTCGACGACACCCAAGCAAGGTCCGATGCACGCAGAGCTTGTTACGACCGCACGAAGGAAAACGTTTTGACTTGCACATCCAATTCACCTCAAGTCCATTCTTCTCTCTCTGCCCAGCGGTGCCGCACCTAAGGAGATTGCATTTGTCAAACCATTGGTCGGTACAATTGACCCAATTCCGGTGCGGCACACCCTGTGGGCTAAAGCGAACACGATTAGGAACCTTCCAAGGTAAATCGACATTGAGCATGAACCTTGCCAATCATAGACTGCATTTGCACCGCGACCAGAAACGTTAATAGATCAACCATGACCTGGCGGGCATACTTGCCTACTGGCTACTGCAGCGGGACGAGGCAGCCGTTCAAAAGTCGGCCAGGCATGGCTAGAGATCGATTGGCTTGAAAAAGCGGGTCTAGTTCCAGACCATATTTAAATGCTTGCCGGACCAGGATCAGTAGGTAGTAAAAGACCAAGTACTGGACTCCGTCTTAGTTGGTGGGGAGTGGGGACCAGCGTGCTACGTGGCTATCTCGACACCCAGTAAGTCTCTCCCGGCACAGCACCGACCTCTGCGAAACTTTCCTTAGCCAGAATTAAAAACAGCCAAAAATGTAATCCCGACAGGGGATGGAAAATACAAGAGGCTAGTACGGCTGGTAATCTGATTTCACGATAACAAGTTTCATTGAGCCGTCAGTTTTACTCACCGCTCTTTCAAGTGCCACATCATCTTGTCTAGCTTCCGATCTCATCTCAAACGGAGCAAAATAATGTCTTTGGGACTGATATTGCTGTTCAGAGAAGTATTCGGATTGCTGTGTTTGATGATGGCCAGACGGGACGCGTTGCTGTGCAGGTGCAGATCCAGGACCTGCGGACGTTTGAGCCGCGTTCTGGCACCAATGCAGGACGAAGTAGTGATGCAGCTACTCGAGGGTTCACGAAACTGAGCCGTGGAAATGGCATCTCTGCGTATTGCTTAACTATTGGCTCGAATCGCCCGCGCGGATCTGAGACAGAAAGCGTCCTTTTTGGCGCTGCAGTGCAAAGCTATTCATGCGCGTGGTGAGATTGTTCATGCAAGAGCCCTTGCAGGAAGTCGGACCACACATCTTCCATTTTAGCTAGGACGATAGTCCACATCGATGCCAGATGTTCTTCTAAAATTGCTCCTGAAACATCTATGATGCTCTCGATGGCCAGTATATTTTGGCCACGGTCATAGTAAACACGCGTTAAGCTTTCCGGGCATAACGGGTCTCGCTTTCTTCACTTGTACCGCAGCACCGTGTTGTTGCAACATGGTGCCAAACACTTGACAGACAGCCGTTCGATGTCAACGTCACCTTGCGCCTTTTTATCCCAAAGCTCATCTAATGCAATGCAATACCAGAGTGTCAATCGTTGGAGCTAGTTCAACATAGCTATAGCCAGCTTTTGCTCCGTCTGTGTGGCAGGCCAGATGTCAGCACCTATCTGATTCGTGAGCATGCGGCCATCGTGCTTCCGAAACCGGCACAAGGTCTCGGTCACTGGAACCAGTGTGGAGTAATTGACCTGAGATGTCCCCAAGCCCAGAGCAGAAAAGCAGGAAGCTATCACTGGCGGAAGGATGCGGATACTCCCTTTGGAATGCAGTCAGGGAGAACTTTTACCTGTGACTTCCACTTGCGAAGAATTGACAATTAAAACACCGTTGGTTTTTCAGCTTCGAGAGCATTGTGTCATACGTCGTTAAAGGGCCTCAACTATTCTGTACCTGAAATGACACCAAGCATACTACATTGAACCTCCGAACTTGGCCTCTAGACCACCCTAAATTACTATCTACTCAAGGGTTGGGGGTTGATTCCTAGGTAAACACTGAGCGCGCCTATGTCTCATGGTACGTGTTTATTATTCATGTTGTTCTTTACGCGTAGCACTCCGTAGAAATGTATCCTGTTTTTTTTCGTGATCCACTTATCGGACCCGAACTTCCGAACCTGCTCTTAAAGTTCATTGATAACTAACCATGTGAATCACTTGAACGCTCAACTCTTTACATCCATACCATGGAGTACATAGTACTTTGTACCAGAGTACTGCTCGATGGGTAACCTAATCATGACTATGAATAATGCCCCAATCGATCGAACTTGCACAGCATCACGGGCTGCAAAAGCACTACAGGGATCATGATCATCATGCCTGGGATATATGGGGTACATAGACCCGAATCGGGCCATGGAAAGTCTGACTTGCCAAGTGGGATGCGTTATTTTATCATTGATCCCCATTAACTAACACTAACACGGTGATCATGATAGGCTCCACCTCCCCCTTTTTCCCCCCTCTTTCCTGCCATTTCTTCGGTCCCGTACTCTACCCTGTCCACTTTGAGTTTAGGGCTTAAGCTTAATCTGGCCCTCCTAGAAAGGATTGCTTGCTTCTGTCATGTAGGAATTCGCCATCCTGCATTGCCGCGCTCTGCCTCTGCAGCGAGCCGTGTCTTTGTCATCAGCCCCGCTCTTTCATCACTGCTGCAGCGTTACTCCTGTGCAAGTTTTCTCGACTTCGAAGAAGCTGCATGGGCTCGTGTGTCTGTATCTTCAACGTTCGCCTGGTTCAAAACGCGAAGTTTCAGCACTTCAGCCCCATGGGGAGGGCAAGTCACACATGACAAGGAGATAAGTCAATCTACGGAGTATAATTGATCGACTGTAGGACAGCTGGCCGATCATCCGCTATTGGATTCGCTGTTTCTGGCCCCCTCAAGCGCCGGAGGGGGGGCCCTAACTCTCCATTGGTTCGAAACGATAGGTCAGCCAAGATAGGAAGAGAGGACTCGAAAATTGAGGGCCACCAACTCAGAAGGTTCATTATGCTACGGCCTGTTAGACAGACCGAACGGCAAAACTGGTCATTGTACCAGCTGTCCCATGCGAGCACTTTAATGCACTACAGCTGAGAGCAAGGAGGGCAAGAATCTGATCCCATCGTGATCCGTGACTCCAGCCTTGCAAGTATCATGAACAAAAAATTGTTCTTGCTTATTGATCATTAATGTCATTGCTGCTCACTGCTGACTGCTGACTGCTCACTGATCACGGCTTACGGCTCATGGCTCATTGCTCACGGCTCACTGCTCACCCATAGCCGAGCCCTAATGCAGAATTTATGCCTACTTGTACCATCAAGAATGTTATATCCAAACTAAAAGGGTGACAATCGGAACGAGAAATGGGGGAGGGGCTTTCTAAATTAGCAGCGCCAGCGCACTCCAGCCCTCCACACGAATTCAGCACTTTCCGTCCCCATCAAAAGGCTTAAACACTTAGGCTTCGGATGACAGGGATGACTTGTACCACGGTACGTATTGCCATTACCTGTGTATTGGATACCGGCCGGTTGTCTCATGGCACTCATGGGCCGTCTAAAGGAGAATGTTTAGCATCTGCTCTTGTCGTCATGGAAGTCTAGTCAAAAGAACAAGGCAGAAGCAAGGCACCTCTCCAGTGTGTCCAGGTAGCACAGCAATTCCCGCAATCAAGCTAACCGTCAGCAAATTCTGGGTCAAGTCTCTCTGGGTCAAGTCCTGGGTCAAGTCCTGCGTAACATGGGCATGGAAGGGGTAGGTGAGAACAATCCCTGTATCCGACCTGTGGTTTGTACCATCTATGTGTATTCCCATTAAGGGTTACAATCATCACCAATGAATTAGTTATTCCAATTTACACTTCCCCCCGTACTCCGTACCCAGCAACTTACAATACTCGGAACTTTCTCAGTATTTACTACGGCCAAATCGCCCCCCGTTCTAAGAGTGGCGCTCTGGCGCTCTGGCCTCTCTGCAGCTAATCCACAAGCGAAGATCCCTCCAGCGAGCCGTGTCCATTAATCCACTAAACGCTGACCCTGGACAAGCACCTTGTGCTTGCGCGAAAGAAGAAAAGCCCACCAACCACCAACCACCCTGCCCTCCACCTCCCCATCTGCTCAACCCGCACTACAGCTGCCGATCCTCTCACACTTAACTCGACCTGCCTTCGTCCCGCTGCTCTGCGTTTGCTTCTCTGCCCTAGATCCCCATTCTCTAAAAGACTAGCCTGCGTTGTTGGCTGCTGCTCTCCCTGCCGCCGCTTCCTGCAACCTCTCTGAACTCGTTCCTCTCAATCCACCTGCTGCCTCTCCCGCCGCCGACGTCCGTGGTCCACTGCCCTGAACCACAGAATCAACGTCTGCACCTTTGTAGGATCCGTCAATCTGGGAGTAGGGAGAGCCCAACTCGTCACTCTCCCTGTCATTGTTCCTACCTTTGAGCTCGCCAATTCTCCTTCACCTCCAAGTCTTGCCGCTCGCTATATAAAATCACACCTGTTGATCCTTCGAGCTTGTCCTGCAGCACTTTCTCATTTCTGTGCAGCGCGTATGGTATATCGACCTTGGATGACCCTCGCGATCATCTACGAACACTTGCATTGCGTTGAGGCCGGCACCCGGGAAACACTTTCCAGAACAGCATAGTTCCTGGGGATCCGCAGTATCGCTCTCGTCTGCGACACTATCAATTTGCATGAGTGTTGCAGCAAGGCGGTCGCACTTTCTTTATTGCATCAAGCAAACCACCTCTAGCTGATCTTTGATGACGAATTACGAAAACGCACACAACAATATATCTGACCCTACATCTGCGGCAAAAGCGCCTTTTCTCTCCATCAAGCGGTTGACCTTTCATCTGCATTGCCTCCTACCTTGCTCAAGCCAAGCTGGGTGAATGCTGTGTTCTAGTCAGTCGCTGTGCATACGCTTCCAATTCATGTACCTGCGGTCTGCACCAACTTCACGATAGAAAAGATCTTTGACGGCAGCTTATGATCTGCACGATCTACACGAACTGCACGAAATCGAATTATTGAATATTAGAACGCTTCTCAAGTCTTTAGCGCAAGACGACTACGACAATAACGATAACTCCAGACATCATTAAACGCGAAAAGTGCCATTGGGCCCGAAACGCAGAGTAAGGGTTCCTGTAACGCCGCAGCGGCATTAAACACTTTTCGCGAAAGCGGTACAGCTACTGCTTGCAACATTAGCCTCTATCTACGCCTTTGACGTCCACACTTCACGATGAATCAAAATCAGCCCTACATGGAGATGCACCCGTCCCATATGTCGTCTGGTCAGCCCTATACCCCTCAGTCTGCAACCGCCCCGGGTCTTCCACATTATTCTCAATATCCACAACCGCAGGTGATACAGTCAGGTCCCGCTCACTATGCGCCCTCGCCTCACTCCTACGGACCATACTCTTACTCGAATGGAGTTCAGTCACCCCAATCGGCGACACAACCATCTTCTGCCCACCAAGTACACCCACAAGCACTTCCTCTTCCTGGTAAGCTCTACCTGTGCCGAATGGTTGACACTTCTGACATGGCTCCAGCTATGATGCCCGGCCCTCCCTCACAGCATGGTTACATGGGTAGCGGAAGCGCTCCGGGCCACGGCTATGGCACTCAGCCTGCACACCAATTTGACCAGACGGGTCAGATAGCGCCACCTGGGATGAAGCCTCGCGTGACGGCAACCCTTTGGGAAGATGAGGGAAGTCTGTGCTTCCAGGTTGAGGCGAAGGGCGTTTGTGTCGCGAGGCGAGAAGGTATGGCAGACCAGAAGATGGTCCTTTGCGCAACAAGTGCACCAATTGACATGTCTTTTTGGCAGATAATCACATGATTAATGGCACGAAGCTGCTCAACGTTGCCGGCATGACGCGAGGGCGACGAGATGGCATTCTCAAGAGCGAAAAGGTCCGTCATGTTGTAAAGATCGGTCCTATGCACTTGAAGGGTGTTTGGTGAGTGGCCGTTGGCACACGTGTTTGCATCCACTAATTAGCCTCGAGGATACCGTTCGATAGAGCGTTGGACTTTGCCAACAAGGAAAAGATCACGGATCAGCTCTATCCACTATTTGTCCACAACATTAGCGGGCTGCTCTATCATCCCACGAACGAGAGCAGGACAAGTGCAGTGGTTGCAGCTACCGAGAGACGTCGGATAGACGGTGTCCCCCCTAGGAACGGACAGACCTCACAACCTCCCCCGTTGCATCATCACCACTCCATGCACAGCACTGTTGGCTCGCAAGTACCGCCGACACCACACTCTATTGCCCCTCACCCTGGTTCTGGACGTCCCAGCCTCGATCGGGCGCATACCTTTCCAACCCCGCCCACAAGCGCCTCCAGCGTGATGGGTATGGGCAATCAGGGAAGCTCATATGAGTGGGGAGCTGCAACCATGGGAAGCAGTGTCTCAAGCACTCAGCCTTTGTCGATTGACACTGGCCTCAGCAATGCACGATCCATGCCCACTACGCCTGCCACCACTCCGCCTGGAAGTTCCATCTCTAATATGCAGCCATATCAAGGACAACAAAGCTTCACCGACTCTAAAGCCTATTATTCTGGGCCACCTTCGTCTCAAAGTGCCTATGCGCCTCATCACACCCCGACTCAACAGAACATGGCCCGCTTTGGAGGTGCCATGCCCTCGAATGCTTACAAGAACGAGATGGGACCCCCCACCGCTCCTGGAGCAGTCAATGGCGGCGATCCCGACCATCATGACGTCAAATCCGAGCAATATGCGCATGGGCACGTATCCGCGGGCTCGACGGATGCCGAGACGGACCAGCAACAAGACAACGGCTACATGGGTGCGAATGCTTCTGCTTATAGCAGCAACCGCACCCAATATGCTTACAATCCATCTCCAAGTGTTGGAACAGTGCAAGGCGATCATCCTCATTTGTCTCCTGAAATGGCGGGTTCTCCACATCAGACTGCCTCTGGCCGAGCGACCCCTCGTGGCACCAACGGAACTCATCAGTGGCAGCAGCAAGGATACCAAACACCTCCGCGAGCTGCGCCATCGAGCAATCTGTACAACGTCATGAGTGATTCACGAGGCGCAAATGGCACGCCTGCAGGTGATCACTACGCCTCAAACTACACCTCAGCATCGATGAACGGAGCTTCGACGTCGAATAAACGTGCAAGAGAGGATGAAAACGACAGCGGGCGTACCGACAGTCACGGTATCGAATCAGGCTTCGATCTGAAACGGAGGAAAACCATTCGTCAAGATCCAATGGGCGTACCAATGGGTCAGATGTCCAGTTTGCAAGGTATCAAGACTGGCGGTGGGCTGCCTCGGCAGCGGTGACCGCAGCCACGATGCTGACCTGCATCTATGAGCGTTCCGTTTGGGCAATCTTTCTCTGTTCGATTGTTCCGACTCTTCTCACCTGTTAATTCGCAAGCTTTCTTGACGGCCTCGTCGCTTCACCGGCGCTGCTTCCAGGCCATTCCACGCGGCATTCTACGATACCCTCCATGACATGCAAAATTCGAAGAAGACCACTTCAAGACCTTATGACATGATCACCACAGTCCCTTCTAATTTTCTTTGCGGCCTCGACCATTACGAATCTGACGACACGAGTTTCTTTTTTCAAAACCTTCCCGAGACGAGCCATCAACTACCCATCCACACCAGATCCTACATCAGGTCTGCTGGGCTGGCTCTGGATACGGCATTTTCTGATGACACGACTGGATAAACTTGTAGGGGAGTGGACGGGTTGTAATTCAACACACGCTGGTGGGGTGTTATGTGTATGAGGGAACGGTAGGGAGTGGACGATTATTTGGACATGAGTTGGGAGACCACTGCGCCCCCAATGATAAAAAAAGCAAGCGGCTACTATTTGATTACTTTTGTCCCATCTTGGCCTGATTTTGTCAGGAGCAAAGAAGATGACGATCCAAAGCAATATCAAGGATCTGCCTCTAGGTGGTTTTGGGATTACTAGCAGTATCAATTCCTCCTCTTGGGATATGATGTTGTCAGTTCGGAAGACCTTTAACGGCCTGGCCAACATAGCAGGTGCTGATTTACTAGCGATAGTCACATTCATTTGCTCCGCTCATGTCTCTGTAAGCGTGTTGTTCAACCCGTGTGCTTGCTGTCCATGAAAATTCCTTAAATGACAGAAATGGCAGGATTCTGATCCCAAGATGTCTTGGCAACAGGGGAGAAATGAAATCTGCTCCGCACTCACCTAATTACTCACCCCCTCGTCGCCGTTTTGTTACTGTGCATTGCGAAAGTGTTGCAATT